ATTAAGGTATCACCCAAAACCTTGAAATAAAATGGAAATAAAAATAATCAGTGAAATAACCTAACTTCGCAAAATTATAATATAAATTTGTTGTCATTATGTTCCTGGTATCGTGATTTTATCATCGACGTACGTCCATTGATTACTTCGGTACAATTTATGATATGATGTAATAGTAATCGTTCGTGATTTTGACTATATGTAGTTACATGTTACAGAGATATGTTAGAGTTAAACCCGTTTTATTTTACATTATGTCTTGAATTAGAATAAGCTGTTAATACAGAAAATTGTCAACAAACACTACATAAGATCAATGACTTAAAATTCCGTAAAAAAATTTAACCAATGAATTGATGTGCTTGCTTCAGTATAATATCTACAGTCTTATACGAGTTCATCTCTACATATCAGGCAAGTGGTGATTTGAAATCAATTAAAACTATAAGAGTTAGAGGGCAAGATACACAAAATTCACATGATAAGCTTTTAAACACATCAGTAGCGTGCAGAACAAGCATATCATAATGTGAAAAATGTTTCAGGAGTGTTGAAAAATGAATACATCGAATATCTTGCTTTTCGGTATTTACAAGGAAGATCGATATTAGATCATTCTCGAAAGTGTTTTTTATACTGTTGGACTCAAAATGCTTTCAAATACACTTTGGAAAGGTTTATTATAAAGGTGCACTTTATTTTCAATTAAAAAACAAAGGTTAATAATAAATCAGCTCATAATTTTGAAATGTACAAAATCAGTTGGTAGCATTAACTTTTTAAAATCATATCGTAAAAACTAAAAAGGGTGCATAATCCTCCCTTTTACTTATATCATGTGATGCTTTTTTCTGCGAAGTGATAAGAAACTTACAGTGAAACTTACAGGGCATTGCACATAATTAAATACAGGGAAATAAAAAAAATCATTCCATGGAATTTTGAGTTCCAAAAACATCTTTAAATCAATTTTAAGCATTGTTTTGCAAAATTTAGATGAAACCAAGTTGAAAAACTGAAAGAGGCGGAATAAACATATTATGCTAATTAATTAGTACAATTTGGCTTTTTTGTGCCCGGTCGAACATTTCAATACTCAGCTCAAAAGGTGCTGATTTTGATAAAAAACCCAAAAAATTGGAAAAAAGTGTGGCCCTGGATTTAGTATCCGCCCTTCTAGTTTTAGGTAACTTTGTTATTGTCCAAAATGTCATCGAAATCGGTTTAATAATGCCTTGAGATATGTGATATTAAAGATTTGGACTTTAAATACCACTGCATATCCGTTAAAACTGAATTTAGAACGTTTTTATTCTCAAATATGAAAAGGTGTCTACCCATACTATACTAAGTGAGATATAAATCCGAACACCCAGTTTAAATGGTTTTATTTTAATAAAAGTTGTATTTATCTTACTGTAAATAACAAGTGAAAAAATTTTCAACCTTATCAGTTGGACATTCCGGTTTTTATACTGCTTTTTTTTAATTCACTAACGCTCTAAAAATGAATATTTCAGCCGCAGTAAAGAATCAACGTTGGCGGATTTTGGTTCTTGACATCCTTTACGATCGGTTACGATGCCTAGAGTACGGAGACCTGTACGATTTCGTCAACTTAGTGAGTTTGATAGGGGCCGTATAGTGGGACTTCGGGAAGCTGGACTTTCTTTTCGGGCAATTGCAGTTAGAGTGCAAAGAAGTGTAGACACTGTTGTTGAGTGTTGTCAGGCATGGCTTCGAGAAGGCCGTACGCAAAGAGCAAGGGGCACTGGACGCCGCCGTAGAACAACAGACCGTGAAGATCGCCGCCTAAGATTATTGGCCTTAAGGGACCGTTTCTCCACTACCAGGTCCATTGCAAATTAATGGTTTGCAGAACACGGAAGACCTATTGGCATGCGAAGTGTTTACCGACGAATGCGAAGTTTTGGCTTGTTTTCATACTGGGTCCTCCCTTTAACTCGAGAACACCGACGTAATCGCCTTGAGTGGTGCAGACAACGGTCACTCTGGGATCAGGTACGGAACAGTATTGTCTTTAGTGACGAGTCTCGATTTTGTTTAGGCATGCACGATGGTCGTGCCAGGGTTAGAAGGCGACGTGGTGAAAGGAGGAGTCCACAGTTTTTTGTTGAAAGACATGTTCATCACACTGTTGGAGTTATGGTTTGGGGAGCTATAGCTTATGGTTCCAGGTGACCTTTAATCTTCATCAGAGGTAACATGAACGCGCAGCGTTATATCCACGAAGTTCTAGAACCCCATCTTTTACCCTATCTTGACACCCTGGCAGATCCGACTTTCCAACAAGATAATGCCCGACCACACGTTGCAAGAGTCACAATAGACTTCTTTCAACATAATGATGTTACATTGTTACCATGGCCACCAAGATCTCCCGACTTATCCCCAATTGAGCACGTGTGGGATATGATGGGTAGGAGATTGCTCAATTTGCAACGTCCTCCTCAGACTCTAGAAGCACTTCGAGAGGAGTTGGTGGTTGCCTGGAATGAGATACCACAGGAGGACATTGATCACCTGATCAGAAGCATGCATAGGCGCGTTGGAGAATGCGTAGCACATCAGGGTGCATCCACGCATTATTAAAGGTCAAAGGGCTTTAAAGCAGTGCAATAATTTTATTAAAATAAAACCATTTAAACTGGGTGTTCGGATTTATATGTCGCTTAGTATATTTATCATTTCACTAGGTTGATTTAAGTATGGAATATCCTGTGAAACTCGAAAACTTTGAGTAAAAGTACATAAGTACCTTTTTTTGGTCAGATTGACACTTATTTGTGGCGGAAAAAACAATTTTTGAAATTTGTTCCAAAAAAGTTGTTTGAATAATTTTTGACGCACTTGTGGGCCCGGCAACATGCAGATTTTTTAAAAATTATCCATAAGATTATAGAAAAATTGCAATTGAGTATATTTTTTCGAGCGATGCAAAGATACCTGGACTAACGATTTTATTAAAAATTCGGGGTAAGTATTTTTAGGTTATACAAATGCATGCTACCGATTACATACGGTCATTTTCACGAGTATCCATTACTAATTATCTAGTAATATTTCGAAATTCCCCATATCCGCAAAAGATACACAATTCTGACGGATCCGTCAATGCCACGTAGACAGAGCCCTATTTTGTTTCGATTTTTTGTACACTACAGATTCATTTTGCACTTGGTAAACGCTCTTTTATTTAGAAAAGTTCATTTGCATACAAAAAACAAAACGCTGCATACAAGTTTTACTAGATTTACGCCCAGTCATTATTGCCAACGTTGCAGACTAACATAAAAATGTCACTTGCTGATCAGCTGTCCACCTCTGTAGACGTCGACGCGTGATGGATACTCGTGAAATAGGGTATAGTCAAAATCACGAAAGATGACTATTACGTCATGCCATAAATTGAACTGTAATAATCAATGGACGTACGTCGATGATAAAATCACGATGTCAGGAACATAATGACAACAAATATATATCATGATTTTGCGAAGTTATTTCACTGATTATTTTTATTTTCATTTTGTTTCATGGTTTTGAGTGATACCTTAATAATAATTTAGTGGGAATTTTTGTTTTGAAAAAAAAACACTTGTGAGTAGAATACTGTAGGACAGGAACACCAAAGACCAAAGTAAAGGGTTGTCCAATAGGGACGCAGTCAAGTAAACGTCAATTTGACATAGACGCCATCTTTGTTTTCTGTCACCGACATGTCATTTTGTTAGTTGAATGTTTACCATTGATCGCTATGGAGTCGTATTCGATTGAAGACCGCATTAAAGTTATTCAAGAGCACTACAAAAATGGTGCAAAAATAAAAAACACGTTTCGCGCGCTTCGTGAACATTTCGGTCGCAACAACCGCCCAAACGAAACAACCATCGGTCGTCTGGTGCGTAAATTCGAGGCAACAGGTTCTGTGGCAAATCTGCCAGGCTCTGGCCGGCCAAGGAGCGTTCGCACACCGGAAAATATTGCTGTTGTGAAGGAGAGTGTGAGAGACGATCCGAAACAATCAACAACGCGTCGATCCCAAGAATTGGGCATTTCGAGAACCAGTTTGCTCCGCAATAGAGGACTATTTTTTGCTGCAACTTGAAGGAATGGATATGGACGATGTTTATTTCCAACAAGACGGCGCAACATGCCACACAATCAACGTCAATATCCATCGATTGCAGTCCTTCTTCGGTGATCGCGTGATTTCGCGTAGAGGAAATGTGCCAAGGCCACCAAGATCGTGCGATTTGACTCCCTTGGACTTCTTTTTTATGGGGATATTTGAAAAGCAAAGTCTACGTCAAGAAACCAGCCACCCTCCAAGAACTCAAAAACAACATCATTGCCGAGATAAATGCCATAGAACCGACCATGTTGCAAAATGTCATTGAAAATATCGACCATCGCGTGAACGTCTGTAAATCCAGTCGTGAGTCGTGGTGAACATTTGAGCGATATTATTTTTCATACATAAATGGTATAAATAAACCTTCAAAATAAAGTACCCAACTTGATTTGAATATCAATCTTTCTTGTTTTAATATGCGTTTACTTTCCTGCGTCGGTTTTGGACAACCCTTTTTATTATTCGAAAACAACCTAACCTGCTTTAACATAACCTAACTATTCATATCTTTCAAATATGATCGATAATGCAACATGAAAACATCGTCTATCTCTGTCGGACACATGCAAATTAGCAATACAGTTTGTTTAGACAATACAATTCTTTTTGTCTCTGTCTAACAACATATCTGAAACTTCATTAAAAATATTCACAAATCGCTGTCGTTTGTCTTTACAACTGTCTAAAATGATGGCGTAATCGTCATCTTTCGTGATTTCATCTATATATACACAGCATACATCTTACACCGAGGCACACCTTACAAAAAAACACCTCATACATCAGGACACGCAGTAAAAACAAAAGAAACACCGTGTGTGGTGCGTCATCGACATACCGAACGATGTATCTCGCGATTGGTGGAAAGTCGTCGGTGGAACGACTTGGCAGGCTCGGTTTCGGCATCGCTGTCAGAGCTGTCTTCCGGGACCGCGAGGGGGCTGGGGCCCCCGCGAGGGCTCCTGCGGTGCTCCCGCAAACCTTCACTACCGCCCGAGGAGGCCATGCCATGTCACAGCTATGTGCGGCTCAGTCTCACATGTTTGTTGAGTCTCACACCATCGCGCGACCGCCCGGTTTTCTTCGTATTTAATCCGCGATGGCCGCGTGACCACGCAGGGGAAAATTGGGGCAGGCGACGTCGCGCGGTGCCGGATCAGTTCGGAGCGTCGCCGGTAGAGGGATCGAGTCGGACCCCGGATGGCAGGGATAGCAGGTGGTTATAGTGCAGTCGATTTAAAAAAAAATAAGCGCAACAGCCGGAGCTGAAATGTGTCCTCAACAACCACAGGTAATTCGACTAGTAATAACGCGCGGTCGCCTGACGCTGGCTTTGAAAATACACAGAATTACAACAAATTTTTATTTCCAAATAATCATGCAAAACATTTATGTACCCACAATGTTAGGTGAAATAACGTCATCTCAAAAAAAAACAAATGAGAAAAAAATTAGAATCCCGCTAAGTAGTTATTGAGACTATACTACAACTATTTAAAACTGTAATGACTCATACGCGTGATCAACACGTGATCAGAGCTCGATCCCGGCTTCCTTCCAGTACAGCCGTATAGCGTACGACATATGTCGTTTCTGTGGCTTTGCGGTGGTCAACAGCACAGACAGAGATGGAAATAATGGCTGATTGTTCTCCGCCGGTAGAACCAATGAAATCAAAGACGCGCCTCGACCGGCAGACTCATAGGCGTCGGCAACGCATTGGAACGTGTTTCGTTGAGCGATCGCATATTGTGTGTTTTTATAAGAATTGTTGTGTGATTGTTATTGTTGTGGTTTCTGTGGTTACTGTTTTGGTTATACTTAACCATGGAGAGTACAAATGGCACGAGTGGAAGTACTGAAAGCCAGGGAACAAGTAGACGGCTTCGTAAAGCACTGAAGAGGGACGCGAAAGAAATCGTGCTCAACGTGTTCAATTATCTGAACAGAACTATGTCGCAGGGAGATGCACACGCGCGATGTGAAAGTATGACAGGCGTTCCAGAGTGGACCATTCGCAGGGTGGTGCATGAAAAGAAGAAAACTGGAGCTACTACTGATCCAAAGTTTAATTTGAAGGGACGAAAGGCCGTTAAATTGGATGACGATAGCAAAATGGCGTTAAGGCGAACATGCATTCTTCTTTAGGAATGAGATACAACCCTCAAGGCTGTACATGCAGCGATCAAGGAAAATGAAATTATACCCCAAATGAGCGTCGAGGGAATGAGGAAATCCCTGCACGAAATTAATTTTCGTTACGAAACGCGTAATCGGAAGTCAGTATTGATAGAGAGACCTGAAATAGTCGCCTGGCGTCGAAAATACCAACGCGAAATGATTGAATATAGGCGACAAAGCAGAAAAATCTATTATTTGGACGAGACATGGGTAAATGCAGGTCACACAGTTAAAAAAACCTGGATAGACAAAAACGTAGTGAGTAACCGACAAGCAAGCATTGAAGGTTTGTCAACAGGTCTTCGTGGACCGTCAGGGAAAGGTCAAAGATTGATCGTAACTCATATTGGTAGGGATAGTGGCTTTTTAGAAGAGTGTGACTTGATTTTCGTCTCTAAGAAAGGAGGTGATTACCATGACGAAATGAATGCCAGCTGCTTCGAGAGCTGGTTTCAAGGGGTGCTTCAGCGAGTTGAGCCCAACTCTGTGATCGTCATGGATAATGCTTCCTACCATAGTCGTCGAGCCGAACGTGTACCGACTATGGGATCTCGAAAAAGTGACATGCAGCAATGGTTGCGTGAAAAAGGAATCCCGTTTGACGATTCATGTGTGAAAGCGGAATTGTATGAAAAAATTAAACAGCACAAACCTGCGAACATTAGTTACGTGACTGATGAGATGGCCCGTCAATGTGGTGTCACTGTGCTGCGGTTACCGCCCTACCACTGTGAACTGAACCTAATAGAGCTCATCTGGGCTCAAGTGAAGGGTTATATTGCGCGCCATAACACAACCTTCAAATTACCAGACGTTAAGGTTTTACTTGAGACTTCCATACAGCTAGTAACGCCCGAAGCTTGGCAGAATGCTATCCGTCATGTTGTGAAGGAAGAAACAAAAATGTAGCAGCTTGACCACCACATCGACACCATCATAGAGCCAGTTATAGTCAATTTCAACGAGGAAAGCGATAGCGACAGTTTATTACTGCCAGATGTAAGTGGAAGCGACGATGAATAAAGGTAATTCCCAAATTTTTGACTTACAATATGTTTCAAACCACTCTTTATTAAGCATGTGACAAATCTAGTTCACCCATGTTAAACATTCATACCCCGCCTATGAACAGCCGACTACTGGTAGTTAAGTGATGTTCACGTGAACATCGATGAGTCATTACAGTTTTAGATAGTTATAGTATAGATCTATTAAAAATTCGTGTACTTTTCTCCTAAAGAAACTCAAATTACTTACTTTATCTGGTGGAAGATGATCAAAAATGTTCAAACAACTAAATATATTCTACGTCTTCCTGTTAAAGTGAGATGCTGAATAGCGTATACGAGGTCTGTAAATTAAGTGATGAGACTGGCAATGTAGCACAAGGATTTGTGTCTGGTGGATCACACTGGTCAAAAAACTTCATGTGATCAGGAAGATGTAAAATTAAAAACTTGACTACCCTTAGTATACAGCCTAAAAGTGATTAAAATATTGAATCTAATTTATAAATGAACAATTTATTGTTAAATAAAATTAATTCTTCTTTTTTGTCTTCCTGCGAATCGATTAATATTAATACTTACCATCTCCTTTGAACCCAGTGCAACAACTTTTTTGTGGTTTTGCCCGTCACAGTGGCGGATTCAAGTAATGGCAAAATGGACATTGCCGCCTGGGGCCCCCAAGGAAGGGTGGTCACAGGCATTTGTCGGCCGGCACATGTTGAATAATGTGGGTATTATCAGTGGAAAAAAAGATGAAATCTAGAGGGAATTTTCAATAGTTGATAGTTTTAAAATCTCCAAATTTCTTCCAAAATTAATCAACACTCAGTTTTAAAAAACCTTTCAAAATGATTTGCCATTTAATAATAAAATAATTCCGTCCTAATCGGACCTCATCAGTCCAGTTTTTTATTCGTCGACTATAAGTTCCCTTCACTGTTGTTTTAAAAACAATTTCAGCAACAATCTCGCCGACTTACTCCAGACGATGAAGACATAGATCTTCGAGTTTAAGTTATAAGAGTGTATACTTTATCTGAAGTCACTTGAAACACTGTGAAATACCGGGTGCGTTTTATATATCTATATTTAACACGCTCTGTTGCTGCAAAAATCGCCAAATTTCGCAGCAAATATCCCCCGTATAAGAGATCAAAGGCAGTTTCACCCGTCCACGTGGAGTAAAGCACGCCTATGCGTGGACATAGCCAATGAGAAAGCGTGTATTTCAGAGCTCGGAACAAGTGCAGGTGGCTACTGAAAATTGAAACAGTTTAGCCAGTGCCGTGTAGCGGTGAATAAACGTGTTTTTTTTAGTCTGTCCGTGTTTTTTCATAGATTTTATTAGTTTGTGTGTTTTTGACTTTTGAATACTCAGTTTACTTGTTGATTTAATTGTTGTGTTGATTGTTCTTGTGTGTCCTAAATATGGCTCTTTGGAGACCTTGGGAAAATGCTCCAAGCCACGAGGAGATGGTTGATGAACCTGTGCAGGCAGAATTCTTTCATAAAGATTTAGAGGAACAGACCCAAAGAGTAATCCTAAATATGTATGATTGTCTGAAAAACGAAAATCCAGATTCCTCGCAAAATCAAATTTTAAACAGAATTTGTATCCTGACAAAAATCAGTCGGTCTACCATTTATCGGGTTATAAAAAGGGGAGATGTAGTCAACCATTCCTTCCACAGAAAGCGCATAGGGCAAAAATTAAAAAGAATAGACGTGGGTTTTCAGGAAGATATTCGTCGTATAATATACGGATTTTATAAAGAAAATTTGGTGCCCACGTTGGAAATGATACGGGATAAATTAAAAGATTATCCTGAAGATTTTTATAATTACAAATGCTTAGACTCACTGCACTGTATTGTAAAACTGTGTGGTTTTCAATACAAAAAATTAGGTAAAAGAATGGTGATTATGGAGTCGTCTCGAATCGTTGAATTGCGAAAAGAATTTTTGCACAAAGTTAAAATCTATAGAGAGCAGAAAAGAAATCTGATTTACCTGGATGAAACGTGGTATGATACCCATGATGTTGTGCAGTACGGCTGGGTTGACGACAGCAACAAGTGCATTTTAAATGCACCATGCAACCGTGGAAAACGAATCATTATTCTCCATGCTGGCAGTGAAAATGGATTTATACCTAATGCCTTGCTGTTATCTGCCAAAAATATCAAAGAATCATGTGCCGACTATCATGAGGACATGACCTCCAACTTATTTGAAAAGTGGATAGAGCAGCAGTTAATACCAAACATTTCCCCAAATTCAGTGATTATTATGGACAATGCGCCATACCATTCCCGACAGAAAAACAAAATTCCGAATACAGGCACAAAAAAACAAGACATTATTGATTTTATGAAGGATAAGGGAATGGAAATACCACAAAAATCAACCAAAGCCATATTATTGGATCTTATTAAAAGACAAAAATTTGAAAAAGAGTATGTTGTTGACAATCTGCTTCAGCAAAATGGCCATGAAGTATTACGTCTACCTCCCTATTACTGCATTTTTAACCCGATTGAGTTGGTCTGGGCTGCTTTAAAAAAAAAGTAAGAAAACATAATCAGACCCCTCAATTAAGTGAATCGCTATTGGCCACAATAAGAGATGCAGTATCTCATATTGCTGCCACAGACCTATGGAAGCAGTGTTCTAGGCATATTATTGAAAAAGAAAATGAATATTGTGTTTTGCCTCCTGTAAATCCCGTTGTAATTTCTCTACAAGATGACTCTAGCGACAGCTCCGAAGGCGAGGATGATATATAAATACCTATAATGTAAGTCTTTATATACCTTTTTATATACCTACCTGCTATGTAAATATTTGCCTATGTCAAACGTTGGAATTCTGTAATTTTTCCATTTCTTAACTTTCAGTCAACATAAATTAAACTCCCAATATAAGTATTTTTTATCCCAAATCAAAAAAATAAGAAGATAGTAAAATCCATTTATTGTGATATAAAAACATTATTATTATCGTTCTAAATAAATGCCGCACGCCTATGATACGTCATGAAATTACAAAGGACGCGCCGACCAAAGGTTTTTATGCTATTTCAAGTGACTTCAGATACACCATACTTTTGCAATACTTTGCCTTCTACCGAAAGAAATTAAAGGATATATATACCTATATATATATATATATATATATATATAACTTGAGACGTGGTCATTGTCGTCTAGACCAGTTAGGTGAAAAATTAAAGCTTCCGCCTTTTGTTGGGTACTTCGACAAAATTTAAGCAAAGAGTACTCTTTATACTTTTTTTAATTCTCTCTAGCTTTCAATGGACTTTGCCATCATCATCAGGAGCTGCAATTACAATGATAACAGTAGCAACAAAAGTGTAAAATGAATTTAAATTGAATCAACTTACAGTAGTATGTGAGGATGTTGCTAATTGTTGTTTTCGTATAGGATGAGGGAAACGTCCAGTAACATGATAAATTCACAGTATTGACACTAGTTATTCAAGTTTTGATAGAAAACCCCCTGCAAGTATAATAAAGGGTAAAATAATGCAACAGAAGTTTTCTCATATTCTTTATTGCGTTTAAAATCTAAGCAGTATTTGTAATCAAACGAAATATACAGTGGCAATAAATACAACCTTCAATATTTAATACAAAATTTTTACAACAAAAAAAAATTATAATGAGAAAAATATATTCCATGAATTTTCCACCGCGGACGAGAGTAGAAGCGCGAAAATCACGGAAAACCCAAAGTTTCGTCTCAATAAATACAATCCTTGTATAAACTGTTAGTCCTGCAATAAGTATAAAAAGAAAACAATAAAAGTGCTCTGTGTCCTATGTTTTTTCACATAATTAAAAATAATGATAAAATACAATACGGGGAGGGACAAAAGAGGAGGACGTATTATGCGAATTAACATGTTGGTACTGAACAACGGATGTCTCTGCTTTTACAAGATTAAATTGACAATACGCATACCAGCTCTCTGTTGCTACTGGATCAACAGCATAAATAATCTGCAAAATGATTGCTGGAAATTTGATTTTCAATGGACGACCATATTTTCAAACGTTAATTTACGAACTTTTACAAACTTTCTTAATATGACATATTCATTTCACAGTAGCTAAAGTTTGGTTTATGTAAAATTAAGGTCTTTCCATATACACGGTGTCCCATTTTAATCCTTCCACCTAAATGTGCATTCTAGGAAAAACAGGTTTTGATCAAGTCAAAGGTGACTTTGACTACGACCTTCAAGGTCAATCAAATATGTTCAAGTCAAACCCTCCTTTTTGACATCGGAATTGCAATGAGGAGCAAATTTTACGTCCAAACCACCTTGGACTGACCTTGTGCATTGACTTCAAGGTCAAATCACGACATCAAAAATTCGTTCTAGCAAAGATGTTCGACTGCACAGCTTTAAGTTTCTGGGGGACCACCCTCAAGGTCAAGTCAAAATTGTCAAAGAAAACCTCATTTTTATACTGGAAATGGAAATATCTCGTCCGACCTCAAAATTTAAGCTTGGCACGACCTTTTAATTGGGGTCAAGGTTCCCAATCGGATGTAAAATTTCCATCCAATGTGCTAAAAAAAAATAAATCTTTCTACTACTACTACTACTACTACTAATTCTGAGTTGACCTTCAAGGTGATGGACAAGGTCACCTTTTGGTGATCCTCACAACCTCACAACTGTGCTGCCAAAAATTTTTGTTAGAGCAAATTGTTTTCGAAGTCTTGATTTGACCTTGAAATGGCTTTGGCGGCAACGGTCAACGTCATAACCTATGCGATTTTCGGAAGTGGAGTTTACCCTTTTTCCAATTCAAATGTGGTTCTATTTGAATTATTCACTTCACCTTGCAGATCCTATTCAAAGGTCACCATTATTTTTACCCCCTAAAAACATTCGTTTAAAGCTTTTTCTAAACGACACGACTTTGGGGTCAAGGTCACATTCGGACGTAACATTTCTTGATTTTTCCATTTCCAGTATAAAAATTAGAGGTTTTATTTGGACTTGATCTTGAAGGTCATGTTCATCTTTGGGTTATCCCAATGAACCACACAACTGTGTTGTCGAACTTTTTTGGTCGAGCTAATCGTTTATGATGTGGTTTGGCCTTGGAATAGTTTTACAGGCAAAAATTAATATCATGACCAATACGATGTTCGTACGTAAAATTTACTCCTCCTTTCAATTCCGATGTGAAAATATCCACTTGACCTTCGTAGTTATTGTGAAGGTCACCGCAAAACATTCGTTTGAATCTTTTTCTAAAATGCGCATATTTAGGTGGCAACCATGTCCTACAAAATAGTTGCTTGTTATGCTTTAAGAGTCTGTATTTTGATGAATAAACTACAATCCTTTGCATTTTTTTATATTATCCAATACGACCTTGGCAACAAAATACCTCGCTGTCTTCAAATAGCGACATGTATCCTTCATCACGTAAAAAGTGTGGAAAGCAACAAATGCTATTTGTCCGCGATTTCTTACCTGGTAATATAGCTAGCAAACGATGGTATTTTTAAAAATAATCATATTAGAATTAACCTAGTTACGCTGCATCAGGGCGGCTCGTCCCTTTTTTAGATTTTTTGCAGCAAACAGGAAGTTGAAAAGAAATCTAAAAAAAGACGAGTGCCACCTTAACACAAATGTGTGGTAAGGAGAGGGAAGGAGAGATGCATGGGATAAATAATGCGAACCAAATTGATTATTTAAACTCAACACACACAGCCACCAGTCGATTGGAGTAACGCGAACAGTCTATCTGAATTCTAACATTCTTAATAACCAAACAGATGCACCTCAAAGTGGCTGTTACAATAATTTTCAAACAGCTGTTTTGTAGCATTGCTGATATAATTTCCTCCAATTACTGTTTCTTACTAATTATGGTTTGCACAGCAAACACCACTTATTAGTATTGGGTTTTTTCATAATATCATTCAAAAGGACTCCTTTTGACAAAACTACATGTTCCAGGCTTAAATTTGCGTCAAAAATGTTTTGAACAATTTTTTGACAAGTTCAAATAATTGATTTTTCGCTCCAGTCAAAATGTTTTTAGGTTTTTTGGGGTTTAGAACTTTTCTCTAAAGTTGATAGATTTCGAGATACAAGCAGAAAAATATTTGAAAACGTGTGAAATATGCTATTTTTGACCCCGAAAAAGATTTTTATGTTGCTGGACTTCCCATATGTTCTTTAAGCATCCATTAACAAAAACAGTTCAGGAGGTGTTGTCATTAAAATTTTCGTTTTTTGATATTGTTATTCAGGGTGGAAAATGACATAATTTTCACTTTTTCAAATGTATCGCTTATACCTTGAAAACCATCAACTTTGAATAAAAGTTCTAAATCGCCTTTTTTGTTAAGGATATCTTAAAAAACCTTCGACTGGAGCGAAAAAAAAAACAATTTTTAGATTTTGTTGAAAAAATTGTTCATAACCTTTTTTGGACCTGGCAACATGAAGATTTGTTTCAACGTAATGTTTCTTACTAATTATGACTTGCACGGCAAACACCACTCATTAGTATTAGGTTTTTTCATATCTTTAAAAAAAGGACTCCTTTTGACAAAACTACATGTTGCCAGGCTTAAATTTGCGTCAAAAATCTTTTGAACAATTTTTTTAACAAGTTCCAATAATTGATTTTTCGCTCCAGTCAAAATGTTTTTAGGTTTTTTGGGGTTTAGAACTTTTCTCTAAAGTTGATAGTTTTCGAGATACAAGCAAAGCAATATTTGAACTGAACTTCCTAAATTTTCTTTAAGCATCCATTAACAAAAACAGTTCAGGAGGTGTTGTCATTAAAATTTTCGGTTTTTCATATTGTTTTTCAGGTGGAAAATGGCATATATTTTTCACTTTTTCAAATATTGCATCGCTTATACCTTGAAAACTATCAACCTTGAATAAAAGTTCTATAACGCCTTTTTGCTAAAGATATCTTAAAAAACCTTCGACCGAAGCAAACAAAAAAAAATTTTCAATTTTGTTGAAAAAATTGCTCAAGACCTGTTTTGGGCCTGGCAACATGCAGATTCGTCAAGAGGGGTCTTTCTGTATAAGATTATGAAAAAAACATATAATCAGAATATATTCACATCATGTAGACTAATGGAAGAATGACACAACCGCCTGTAATTTCGCATAAACCACTGCAATCCGTATGATTTGATTTTTACGAGATTATGCCTGGAACACTCCTTAAAGAAAAGCAAATACATATTTGCGAAAAACCTTCCCTACCGTCATGAAAACCACAGATGTTACATTAAAGATCAGCTATGTTTCACTAACGCCATCTGCTGTCCACATTACCTGCCTTGCGTAGAGTTGAAGATCGATGATAAAATGCAGCCTGCAGGTTTTTTATTGTCGATTCCTGAAACTTAAATACCAAGCCACGTATTCACTTTCAAATTGGCAAGCTATAAAAATCTTGTAACCACCACTTCGCAACGCCAAAAACCGATTAACCACTAGTCAATAAAAACACGCTATAATATACGCTTCGCGAGACCCCAATCGACAAAATTGAACGCACACCGCTGTTGTTTACGTACCAGTTACTACATTATATACACACATACCAGTGGATTCTAGTATTAGATAAAACTGCCTTGTTTTTCTGTTCCGTTTGCCTGTGTATACAACTAGATTACATTTTATATTACTTTTGTGAATGCAACCTTACGAGAAGAGAGCCTAGAGGGTAATGCTCGCACAAACACACACTTCAACACCGCTGTCGTTTAGGGTGGTTTCGTGATGACTGGTTACAGTGTTGCCGCTGCCGCCTCCGGATTTCCGAACACACCTCTCAGTCTCAGTTGTAGATTTTGATGGCTTTCTCCAGATAGTTGAATCTAGGCCTTTTCGGCGCTTTGTTCACGTGTTCTAGACCTATCCACGGTTTAGGATTACCTGCAACAAAGAAATGGCGTCAAGTATATTGACTCTGCTCTTCCCAGGCAACGCGCTTTAAGTACTTTTAAGTTATCAATTTCTGAATTCGTTAAAATATACTAAGTGACATATAAATCCGAACACCCAGTTTAAATGGTTTTATTTTAATAAAAGTTGGTGAATGTATTTATCTTACTGTAAATAACAAGTGAAAAAATTTTCAGCCTTATCAGTTGGACATTCCGGTTTTTATACTGCTTTTTTTTAATTCACTAACGCTCTAAAAATGAATCTTTCAGCCGCAGTAAAGAATCAACGTTGGCGGATTTTGGTTCTTGACATCCTTTACGATCGGTTACGATGCCTAGAGTACGGAGACCTGTACGATTTCGTCAACTTAGTGAGTTTGATAGGGGCCGTATAGTGGGACTTCGGGAAGCTGGACTTTCTTTTCGGGCAATTGCAGTTAGAGTGCAAAGAAGTGTAGACACTGTGGTTAGGTGTTGTCAGGCATGGCTTCGAGAAGGCCGTACGCAAAGAGCAAGGGGCACTGGACGCCGCCGTAGAACAACAGACCGTGAAGATCGCCGCCTAAGATTATTGGCCTTAAGGGACCGTTTCTCCACTACCAGGTCCATTGCAAATGAATGGTTTGCAGAACACGGAAGACCTATTGGCATGCGAAGTGTTTACCGACGAATGAGAAGTTTTGGCTTGTTTTCATACCGGCCACACTGGGTCCTCCCTTTAACTCGAGAACACCGACGTAATCGCCTTGAGTGGTGCAGACAACGGTCACTCTGGGATCAGGAATGGAACAGTATTGTCTTTAGTGACGAGTCTCGATTTTGTTTAGGCATGCACGATGGTCGTGCCAGGGTTAGAAGGCGACGTGGTGAAAGGAGGAAACCACAGTTTTTTGTTGAAAGACATGTTCATCACACTGTTGGAGTTATGGTTTGGGGTGCTATAGCTTATGGTTCCAGGTCACCTTTAATCTTCATCAGAGGTAACATGAACGCGCAGCGTTATATCCACGAAGTTCTAGAACCCCATCTTTTACCCTATCTTGACACCCTGGCAGATCCAACTTTCCAACAAGATAATGCCCGACCACATGTTGCAAGAGTCACAATAGACTTCTTTCAACATGATGATGTCACATTATTACCATGGCCACCAAGATCTCCCGACTTATCCCCAATTGAGCACGTGTGGGATATGATGGGTAGGAGATTGCTCAATTTGCAACGTCCTCCTCAGACTCTAGAAGCACTTCGAGAGGAGTTGGTGGTTGCCTGGAATGAGATACCACAGGAGGACATTGACCACCTGATCAGAAGCATGTCTAGGCGCGTTGGAGAATGCGTAGCACATCAGGGTGCATCCACACATTATTTGAAATTTTTATCATTTACTTATTATGCTTCATTAAGTACTTATACAAAATTTTATTAAAATAAAACCATTTAAACTTGAAACTCAACCATTTGGAATATCTAAGACTTCCGAAGGCTAGCGAATTACGAATGATATGTGGGAAACTATGAAAAACAGCTAGGTTTTTAGTAGAATTTCCCCCTAGCTGATATGAATAGGTGCGCCAGGCTGGATACGATTCTACCTTCTGTCAACGTACGCGTTGACAGATGCGGTTTGGAAATTATCATTAGAGATAGGCAGGAGAAACTCTAAGCAATCCTCTCTATAAGTAGGATTTACGTGTGCTTGTCGAAAGTAACCTACCGCCTGTGATCGAGGAGCAGCGCATCAACATCAAGTTTCTTGCAAAGCTAGGCAAGAACGGTCGTGAGATTTCTGAGTGTTTGGAACAAGTTTATGGAGACAATTCTCTGAAGGAACCAACCGTCAACAAGTGGTTGAAAAAGTTTCGGGAAGGCCGAGATGTGAAAGATGACCAACGCTCAGGACGCCTCCCTCCACACCGAACTCTGAGGGAAATGTCGAACGAATTCGGGGCTGTGCTCTTAAAGAGCGACGATTGACAGTTAGAATGATAGCTGAGGAACTGTCAATCCTCAAAACAATCGTCCACGAAGTTCTGACAGAAAAACTTGAAATAAAAAAATTGTGCGCGAAAATCGTCTCAAAGCAGAAGCTAGGATTGCTTGCTGAGAGGATTGGTTGGAAGCAGAGGAAAGGTGGGACTTTCTCAACCGAGTCATCACTGGAGACAAGCCTTGGTTCTACGAATTCGATTTGGAGCTGAAATCTTGAAGCGTGGAGTGGAAACAACCGAGAACAAAAAAAATTCGATGTGAAAACAATATTGATTGTTTTCTTGGATTCTCGAGCCAGGAATTTGTCCCTCCCGGTTAGATACTGAACGGAAATTTCTACATTGAAGTTTTGCATCGTCCCAGATCTCGTGTGACCCGAGTTCGACCGGATTTGGCACAAGTAGGCAGCACCCTTCATCGCGACAACGCGCTTACTCACACGTTTCTCGTTGTGCGTGAGTTTTCGACCCGAAGCTCAATCACCGTGACGAACACCCGCCTTATTCACCCGATTTAGCCTCTTGCGACTTCTTCCTGTTTCCAAAATGCAAAGCGATGCTTCGGGGGCGGCATTTGGGGGACGTGGAAGCCATCAAGGGAGAAACGACACGGCGAATGAAGAGCCTCGCAAATGAAGACTTTCAGCGATCGTATCAACAGTGGAAACGGCGTTGGCAGAAGTGCATCTTGTCTCAGGGGGAACACTTTGAAGGAGAACATATTGAACAATGGTAAAATTACTCCTTTTATACGTATTTTTTGGACAAACCTCGTACATTGACTTTTCTTATAGCTACATTTCTATTTACCAAATACTGTCATGTTTTAAGAACCTGAATTGCTGAAAAACCTTGTAAATTTTAAAGTATGTACTTACTTGTATTGGGTAGAGGCCTAAAATCTGTTAAACTAACTACATATTCATCTTCTTGGATCATACTAGGTCGACCCATAGAAACTATTGCGAACTTATATTTCTCCCACTCCTTTTCAGGCACAGCCAATTTTTTCTTAATTCGTTCTGAAAAAAAAAACAATTCGTTAATATATTTAGTTAAAAGTTTAATGCATAACATAATTATCGGTTTTTATCGAAAAAAAAACGATCCATTATCAGAGTTCGATCACTAGCTTAATTGAAGATAAAACAAAATTACAATGTACACGTTTACTACAGATCTCCAAGCTGTAATATTAGCCGATTTTTTGACTTTTTTGAGAGTGTTTGTGAAAAACAGTAATAATGAAATTGCCCCAATGTGCACTTGGGAGACTTCAATATAAATTTTGGTAATCAAGATTTTTAGGTAAAAAATTTTAAACAAGTACTGAACTTTCATGGTCCATGGCAAAAAGTTAATGAATACACAAGGTTTACAAACTTTTCACGAACTAAGATCGATTTAATAATAATAATAATATTTTTTATTCGCCAAAATACAAAAAATGGGCAAATAAATATGAAAAAACCACAGAAGGCATCGCCTGTGTGTGGTTTATATCTTAATAACTAACAATCAATCATATATGTGTATAACAATTATTGTTAAATCTAAAAGGTATTAATGTAATTGGAATTTTGTAGTTTTAGCTTTCTATATAATTATGTATAGTCATTCGCTGCACATTACTAACCCAGTCTTTCAATTTTCTTCTAAATTTTTTTCCAAAATTAAGTATCTTTATTTCTTTTGGTACTACATTATATAATTTAGCTGCTAAGAATTTAAATGATTTTTTGAATAATGTTTTGTGCGGTCTTTGGATATTAGATGAGCCTATTCGAAATCGTGTGTTATGCTCGTGTTTATAGGATTTTTTCTTTTTATTACAATACTTATGGTATAAGGTGGTGGTATGTAAGAAATAAAGTTGTCTTGTTATCAAGTATCCCTGTTTCTTGATATAAGTTGTTCGTTGGATATAATCTTGGCTTATGGAAAATGGCTTTCAAAACAGTTTTTTGTGCTATATTCAGGTCAGAAATATATGTCTTGCAGGCGGCACCCCAGGCTGTGATGCCGTATATTATATGGGTTTCAACTAAGGCATGGTATAGGATTCGCAGATAACTTTCTGTAAGAATGTTAGCAAGCATTTTGAGTTTATAGGCAACATTTCTAATTTTTTTGATAACATATTTAATATAGTTATCCCACCTTAGATGTGAGTCTATAAATATTCCAAGATATTTCAAAGTGTTAACTCTATCGATTTTGGTCTTTTGGCCATGATAATTAACGGAAATTTGTTCGAAGGTAGGTAAAAATTTTGAATAGGATGTAAATGCAATAAATTTTGTTTTTTTGAAGTTAACTGTTAAAATTTTAGTATCAAACCAGTCAATGATCCTTATAAAATCCTTTTCAGCTATTTGCTTCAGTGTGCTCCGGTCATCAGCTTTATATAATACGAGGGTGTCATCTGCAAAACATATGATCTTTCCAGAACTGTTAATTTTGAATAAGTCATTTAAGTAGAGACTAAATAATAGTGGGCCTAGTACTGTTCCTTGAGGCACACCACACTTGATGTACATTTTTTTACTGTAAGTGTCAGTGATTTTGACAGTCTGTGCCCGACTTGAAAGGTAATTTTTTAAAAGGATTTGTGACGCTCCCCTAAATCCCAATCTTTCCATAACTTTCAGAAGCTCGACATGGTTAAACGTATCAAAGGCATTTTTTAGATCAACAAAGATACCAATAGTAGGTATCTTTTTGTTGACATTAGAGTTAATTTCATCCATTGCAGCCAAAATTGCATCTGTAGTAGATTTTCCTTTTCTAAATCCATATTGGTCAGAACATATAATTTTGTTTTTGTCCAAAAATTGTAATATTCTTTTTTGTAGTAATTTTTCGAAAATTTTGGCTATATTCGATAGTATTGAAAATAATAACCAATGAACAGAATTTGAGTTAATAAGGTGTTACATACTCCAAAAATAAGCGACCAATCGTCGATATGTTTCGAGGTGGAAAATATGTTTAATGAGAGAGAATCAAGAGAAATCACAATTATTGACTTTGAAACGTTACAAATTAGGAAAGTGGTATATCAAAGGAAAAAGCCAACACTCTGGTTTTCAATAATATTTCTAGACTCTAAATTGACGCGTGATAGTGACTATAAAAAGTTTATGATCACTCAAACTGAGGAAGATTGGATACAATATAAGAAATCAAGAAACAAGTGTTTAACAAATCTTAGGATCGAAAAGAAAAAATATTACTCGTATGAAAACAAAATCGATAGCAATAAAAATATCAGTAAAATGGTGTGGAAGACACTAAAAAATATTGTATCTCCCAGTAGGAAGAATGAATTATCAAGAATGTGCTTTGACGATGGTATAGTAACACAAAAAATAGTGATTTGATTGATTTGATATCAGGATGTGTGTCAGTTTGAAAATGTTCAAAGGGAAATTGAAAAAATGTCTCATGGAAAACCAGAATTCATAGTAGTGAAATTTTGTATAAAAATATGTAGTCTTGAAGATATAATATACAGGGTCCGCAAAGTTGGGGTTTTCCTTTTCAGAAACAACAACCCTTGAAATAACAAAGGTAATGTGTAGTGAAACGAGGGCGACCAAGTAAAAAAAAATAAAGGAAAAAGTACTCACTCTCCAGTTGACGAGAAGGGCTAAGTACGTCTCTGCTCGAAATCATACCGCTCCAACAGAAAATGAAATCAGCTGATGCGCTACCGAGCAGACGCAGGCAAACAATGAAGGCAAAATGTTGCGTAAAAAGTCTAGGTATTGCATCCCGTCTAATCGATTTGGGAGAATAAATGGTCCAATGAGCATACCGTTCACCATGCCAGCCCAAACATTCACCGAAAATGTTTGTTCAAAATGTGCCCGACGGACAGCGTGCGGATTTTCTACTGACCGAACATGAGTGTTGCGAAAGTTATTCACCCCATTACGCGTGAACGTAGATTCGTCTGTCACCAATATGCACTTCGAAAAGTCCGGATTATTGTCAACCACTCACAAAACCGCACTCTTGCTGGAAAATCGTCAGGTTGAAGGGCTTGTACACGTTGGACGTGAAACGGATACAGCCCCTCTTCACGCAGCGTTTGCCACACTTTAGTTTTTGATACTTGCACTTCTCTAGCCACGTCTCTAGTGCGTCTACGCGATTACCTCTACACGCGTGACCGTAACCGTCGGTTGAAGGTTGCATACTGACCTGACACACTGACCCCGACCCAGTTCTGTCGTCGGGTTGAGCCAGTGACCTTGTACCACTTCGTGAGTGGTGTGGTGGTGATGTCGCGGGTCGCGGCTACAGGACGGTATTCAGACATTTTTGATGTTGCAGAGCCCTTTATCTCGGTTCCCTTAAGACATTGGTGTATATGGTACTAAGAAAAATTGCTTATGTTTTCAAGATCTACACGTCGTGTAAAGGAAAACCCCAACTTTGCGGACACCCTGTATTTTGTGATATACTGTGTAAAACGGATATTATGGATATTGTAGCATTAATGCTAAATAAATCTGAAACAAACAAAATTTAAAAAAAAAAAACTTTGGCGGCACCTCGCAATAAGTTACGGAGACATGGATATTCTAAGAAAGTTTCGTGTCAATGTGGCTTAGGGTCAAGTGCCACACCGAAAAATTTAACTTGTTGGAATAAAACCAGATTTTGGCATTTTTCCAATTCGGAGTCTGTTTGCTGTTGTACTTCCATCAGAGAGCTAGCTGCAAGAGATAATGATGTCCCAACTGCAAAGAGGGTATCTTATTTTATTAGTAGATTATTAATATAGATGAGAAAGAGCATGGGACCTAGAGCAGAACCTTGAGGCACCCCTACCGATATCTTCCAACTATGAAAAACAAAACATCCTGTGTTTGCATATAAAGATTCCCGCTTACCTTTAACTTTAGTGAAGGGCTCCCCTTGCTTGATCTTGACCAAGAAGGGAATGCCAAAGGTCGCAAACACCTCCTTGTGGAAATGTGCGCACGAGACGAGCATCTCATCCTCGGCAACGTGCAGTTCGTCGCGAGGCACTTCCTCGATTCGGAATACTCTCGCCGGCGATGGAGTACCCAGCGACTCCAGTAGCGTGTCTTCTTTGGGACCCAACGCGACTTTGTTGCAATTCACCTCGGTAAACCTGGTATGGGAAACAATGTGATATTGATAATGGTTTGTTCTTACAGCCATCTATGTTTTAATGCGTATAGTAACGTATGTTTTTCGAATATCGTAACATTTGTTCAATTACTCACAAATACGAAATGTTTGAATTTTTATAAACGTAACCTTTGTTTTTCGCATAAAAATAATATTCATCTTTGGGAATGGTTTGTGATTCATATCGGTTGGGTAAACACGTGTAATTTGCTATTAAACGATCTTTGATCGAAGCCTGTTTATTGCTCAATAAAGTAGTAGTGATGGCCGGAAAACAGTTATTTTGGGATAAACAATTAGACATTCTCTAAAAACTACTTAACCAATATATTCCAATTTTGTTGTTGTTATTTAGAAGTATGAAAATATGGATTTGAAGAATTTCAAGTAGCTGCGTGAAATTAGCGTCGTATTACAAAGTGCCAAAACCTGCATTTTGCCTCGTTTTTTTTTCGGTCATAACATTTTTGTTATTAGTCGGATCTTTTTACGTGTGGCCTCATTTTGAGGGTCTCATATACAGGGTGTCCCAGAAGTCGACGTCAAGCCGAAACCGGGTGATAGGCAAAGTCGGTAACAGCTATCAGAAAAATATTTAAAAAAATTTTATGTATGTGTTTTGAAAATTATAGGTCTTTGAAAAAAATATAGAAATTTCACACCCTACGGCAGTGTGTCAACTCCTCTTACTACAAATATTAACTTTTTTTGGATTTTATTTTTACAATGTAATGATGAATAATGCATCTTCAAACTGGTGTCTCAACCTTACTGCCAACTTTTCTCGTTCAGGAAAAATTGCCACTTATTTCCCAACCAAGTATTCCAAAGTAAAACTTTGCTCAACTTTAACTGGCTGTACTGGAAAAAAATGTACTACGAGAGTTTGGCAAGTAACCTTAAAAGTTGGCGCATTTAATAAGGATTCCAAAATGGTATAACACTTAGAAGATTACTCGTTAACTTATGCACAATTTTTATTTGAAGAAAAACTGATGAAAATTTTTCAAAATTTCCTAATTAAACAGCGATTATGAAAACGCACAAGGACCCTTAAGGATAACTGTTTGCACAACAGTGGGCGTCAAAATGCTACTGATGATGATTTACCTTTACAGAAAATGCTCAAACTGTTTTCCTTCAGCCGCAATACACGCTCGACATCTTCTTAAAAAAGATCGGGTTATTAAACGAGCTAATCCACGGTTATTAACAAACTCAGCTGCTTCCAATAGTCTTTGCCGTAGCTCAGCTACATTTTGAATCGGCTTGAAATACACTTTTTCTTTTACAGTTCCCCAGTAAAAAAAATCTAACGGATTCAAATCTGGTGACCGGGCTGGCCACGGTATTGTACCAGACCGCCCTATCCATCTGCCTGGAAAGTTTTGATCGAGATACTCTCTCACTGAGAGTGCATAGTGCGCTGGGCAGCCATCATGCTGAAACCACATGTCGGCACGTCCTCCAATAAATTTTCTAAATGATTTTGCAAAAAACCTAAATAAACCTCAGCAGTCAAAGTCTCTGAGAACTCAAACGGACCGATTATTTTACCATTTAAAATTCCTGTCCAATGGTTTATCTTGAAGCGATATTGAGATCTATCTTCTCTCATCAAATGTGGGTTTGCTACGTGCCACTCGTGTAAGTTATGCAGGTTCATGTACCCATCTTTCTTAAATGTGGTCTCATCTGACCATAAAATTTTTTCAAAGAACCGTGGATCTTCCCTGTGTCTTTCTAACATTGTGCGTCAAAAAGCAACTCGGGGCTCATAATCCCGGGGCAGAAGAGCTTGAACACGCTTGTACGTGGTATGGATGGAGCACGTTTTTTTGCAAGATTCTATGGGCTGTACTTTTGGGCACACCTGTTTTTAGTTCTATTCACGCACTGAAGTACTCGGGTCTTCTTCGACAGCTCCTAGCACCACGTCTTCGTAAGGAAGGAAAGATCTTCCCTCACCATGTGATTGGTTTGGTAGTTGGCCCCCTGAGAACAGTAAGCGGTGCACATTTGTGAACACTCGATGATCTGGATGACGAGCTGCATTCGGGTACCTCTCACAGTAAAGTCTCGCTGCAGCACTAGCGTTGCATCTGCATTCCCCATAAATGAGGTGCATGTTAGCATATTCTTGTACGGTGTACACGGACAATAGCGGCACTGCACAATCACACTATCAAAGATAGTCTAATCCAAATCACAAGCGATCAACAGTCCAGTTCACGAATCCAAAATTAGTAACAGTACGAAATCAACAAGCACGAACATGCAAAGATGCGCAGTAAACGAAGGAGTACTGATCGGTATCAAAGTGTGCAATAGCAAGTCAGTGATGTGCTTCATCCATACCACATACAGCGTGTTCAACCTCTCCTGCCCCGGGATTATGAGCCCCGAGTTGCTTTTTGTCGCACAATGTTAGAAAGACACAGGAAAGATCCACAGTTCTTTGAAAAAATTTTATGGTCGGATGAGACCACATTTAAGAAAGATGGGTACATGAACCTACATAACTTACACGAGTGGCACGTAGCAAACCCACATTTGATGAGGCTACAGGACGGTATTCAGATATTTTTGATGTTGCAAAGCCCTTTATCTCGGTTCCCTTAAGACATTGGTGTATATGGTACTAAGAAAAATTGCTTATGTTTTCAAGATCTACACGTCGTGTAAAGGAAAACCCCAACTTTGCGGACACCCTGTATACTTTTGTCCATTACTGTATATGAGAAAAAAAAATGGTACTTTATAAATAATAAAAAACTAGCACACTTTTTAATAATTACTAAGAATGTTTCCAAACTTTTGTCGGCTGCTGTACATATCTTATTTTCGAAAATGTTCGCGTTAACAAGTAAAACAACTTGGCATTTCTTACCTAAGTTTCCCCGAACTGCCTTCGCTGAACTCAATCTGTTTCTTCGCCTCCTCAAGAAGATCCGTCAACGTACCACTTTTGTTCGGATAGAGCACCAGCTCCTTTTCTTCCTTCAGCTTCAATCCCATGTAAATACACTTGAACTGTTTCTTGTTCTCCAACTCGTTCACCCTGATGCTCAGCTGCTGATAGAATATCTTCTTGGGCACTTTCGGCTTCGCGAACACCAGCAGATCTTTGAGGGTACCTTCAAACGTGCACCGAAGCGCATGTCCAGGGCTGTCTTTGTAGCTTGAAATGCGAAAAATTGCATGTAAGAAAAATCAACCGGAATAATGTAATATTAATTTTTATTATGATAAAGAATAGAATACATTAATTTCAGCCTGGTTGCTTGTAAAAATGTACTCTTGAGTAATGAATTGAAATCTGAAGTTTCCCAACTAGCAAAGTAGTGCTATAAGCTTTTGGTAAAAGAACCGTTGAGCCATAAAAGCTCTCTATTGAAGTGCTGACGATTTCTTTACTTTCCCGAAAATTAAAAACAGACTGCGTGATCAAAGGTTCCAGTCACCAGAAGAAGCAGTTGACGCATTCAAAAATGTCGTTTTGGATCTGCCAGCCACGAGTGGAATAAGTGCTTCGAAGTCATTTAAAACTACCTACCGTGTTATTTTATTTCCATATGCAAAACTTAAAAGACATCCCTCGTAACATTTGGTTGCTATAACTATACAGTTTACAACCAAAGGAGTGCTGGGAAACTTGAAACTCAACCATTTGGGATATCTAAGACTTCCGAAGGCTAGCGAATTACGAATGATATGTGGGAAACCATAAAAAACAGCTAGGTTTTTAGTAGAATTTCCCCCTAGCTGATATGATTAGGTGCGCCAGGCTGGATACGATTCTGCCTTCTGTCAACGTACGCGTTGACAGATGCGGTTTGGAAATTATCATTAGAGACAGGCAGGAGAAACTCTAAGCAATCCTCTCTATGCGCTTTGCGACAAAGTAGGATTTACGTGTGCTTGCCGAAAGTAACCTGCCGCCTGTGATCGAGGAGCAGCGCATCAACATCAAGTTTCTTGCAAAGCTAGGCAAGAACGGTCGTGAGATTTCTGAGTGTTTGGAACAAGTTTATGGAGACAATTCTCTGAAGGAACCAACCGTCAACAAGTGGTTGAAAAAGTTTCGAGAAGACCGAGAAGATTTGAAAGATGACCAACGCTCAGGACGCCCCTCCACACCGAACTCTGAGGGAAATGTCGAACGAATTCGGGGTTGTGCTCTTAAAGAGCGTCGATTGACAGTTAGAATGATAGCTGAGAAACTGTCAATCCTCAAAACAATCGTCCACGAAGTTCTGACAGAAAAACTAAAAATAAAAAAATTGTGCGCGAAAATCGTCCCAAAGCAGAAGCAAGGATTGCTTGATGTGAGGATTGGTTGGAAGCAGAGGAAAGGTGGGACTTGCTCAACCGAGTCATCACTGGAGACAAGCCTTGGTTCTACAAATTCGATTTGGAGCTGAAATCTTGAAGCGTGGAGCGGAAGCAACCGAGAACAAAAAAAATTCGATGTGAAAACATTATTGATAGTTTTCTTGGATTCTCGAGTCAGGAATTCGTCCCTCCCGGTTAGATACTGAACGGAAATTTCTACATTGAAGTTTTGCATCGTCCCAGATCTCGTGTGACCCGAGTTCGACCGGATTTGGCACAAGTAGGCAGCACCCTTCATCGCGACAACGTGCCTACTCACACGTCTCTCGTTGTGCGTCAGTTTTCGACCCGACGCTCAATCACCGTCACGAACACCCGCCTTATTCACCCGATTTAGCCTCTTGCGACTTCTTCCTGTTTCCAAAATGCAAAGCGGTGCTTCGGGGGCGACATTTGGGGGACGTGCAAGCCATCAAGGGAGAAACGACACGGCGAATAAAGAGCCTCGCAAATGAAGACTTTCAGCGATCGTATCAACAGTGGAAACGGCGTTGGCAGAAGTGCATCTTGTCTCACGGGGAACACTTTGCAGGAGAACATACTGAACAATGGTAAAATTACTCCACTTTTATACGTATTTTTTGGACAAACCTCGTACATTGACTTTTCTTATAGCTACTTTTCTATTTACCAAATATTGACATGTCTTAAGAACCTGAATTGCTGAAAAACCTTGTGTGCTTCGAAAATTGGTTCGAGCGCATGCAGATGTGTATTAATCTTCTTGGAGAATACTACGAAAAACAATAAAGCCGTTTAAAACTACCTACCGCGTTGTTTTATTTCCATATGCAAACTTAAGACCCCAAGCTCTGTAAACAATTTTTGAAAGCAAAAGAACAAAAAAATTCTGAAAGTCCTCCCCAATTCCCGGATTTGAAACCGATTGGTGTGGGATGAACTGGGCAGACAAGTACGGAAATGTTGTCCTACATCTTAAAAACACTTAGGGAAAATATTACAAGACGAATGGCGAAAAATAACAGCATCCACTTTCAAAAAATTTGTTGCGCGTTTACCCATCATTTACCAGGCTGTAATCAAAAGTAAAGGACATAATCGTGAATCATAAATATGATTATTTTGATTATAAATAGATGTATGTTGTTAAGAATTAAGAAATGTTTCATACAAATATTGTAATGTTTTTTTTAATAACTTCCATCAGTTTCCTTGTGTTCTACGAGTTCAAATACTTTTGGTCATATAACATCCAAAAAACAATACCTCAATTTCGAAATTTTTCGCGATTACAATACTGCCTCGCCAGTTTAGGCAGAGGAAGTAAAAACCTGAAAACATTCGGGATCCTCTTGTTTATATTACCTCTAAACAAAAATGTTGAAAATCGCCCGACCGTAATTTATCAAACAAACCAACTTACCTCTGGGATTTGAAGAACTGCAACAGGTAAGGATCAGTGCCCACCCTTTGCGCGACAGCTCTGGCGAATTGATCGTAAGTCATCCTTTGGCTCAATTCCATGGTGAAGCCTTGATCGTTCGGTATGCTCTTATCGACGAACGTCACTTCAACCCTGAAGTACAGATCTTTGAAGTATTCTACGCAGGTGGGAAGATCCGATAGCTCCTCTCGTTCTTCTTTTTCGAAGACTATTATGTCGCCGTCCATCAGTTCTTCTAAGACCTTGAAGATATCGAGGTCAGTCGTAAGAACATTGAAACTGAACTAAATGATGTACCAATAGGTGCTTCAGGATTTAAATTTAGCTTTAGCAATCATTTTAAAACACTTGGGGATATACAGGTATAAAGTAAGTCAAAGTATTATAGATAAATTTTAGTGTAAAATACAGGGTGCGCCATCTCTTATGTCGGTATGTAAACATGAAATAACTTTGAAAACGAAACACTGATTTCTATATAGAAATATATTACGAGTATATCGGGTTTTTTATTAAACATGGTCCTTTATAATTTATTGGGACTAGTTTTTGAACCCAACATAAGTGGCCACCTTTATTGTGTTAGCTGCACCTTATAAGGAAACAAATGCAAATCATCCTTCAAAATGCGCCGCAACGTGGTTCCACTGATGCCAAAATGCCGAGCGTGGTGACGATGTGACACTTTTTTTGGGTTCTGGGCAACGCTGTCTCTGACCGCTTCAACCAATTCATTGGAACATCTTGGTCGTTGATGAACGGTATGTTGAGGATCTCCCACTATCCCGTACTCAAGAAAATTCGAAACCAAACGACGGATAACTGAACGACGATTTTCAATGTACACTGTGACCATTTCGGCGCGTTGTTTCGGTGTAAAGCGATTCATGACCAAAATTGTAGTAAATTGACGTTTCAGAAACGCGTATAACCAAATCACTCGATTGGTAAATGTCAAAGTCATTCGATGTTTCAATACCATCATTTAAAATATAAAAAGCAAGAACTTCCCGAACAACCTAATAGTAACCTTCACCTCTTTGCTTATTTCTAGTTAAAACCTTGCTGTAAATATTCGAGAATTTATTTCAAGAGCATTGATGGCTGTTTTGAGGGGCCACTTGCCAGGGCGCTTCATATAAATTACGGGCAATTTAGGTCGCCGGCTCGCTCTCCTGATTTGGCCCCTTGTGAATTTTTTATATGGGGTTTCCCGTGTTTATGTGAACCATTCAAGGACCCTACAAGATTTGAAGACCAACGTCCAGGAAGAAATTGCCAACATAACAAACGTGTTATTTTTTCAAAATCGTCGGTTTTATTTACAAACAAAATCCCAACACACCTACTTGAATGTCCTTTATACACTAGTAGCCTTGGAGTTCATGGATTTTAGAACCTCTTTTATAAAGGGTGATTTTTTTGCTAGTATCTTTTTGACAGATGACGCGTGAATCGTGTCTTGTGTCATTGTCAAACTTGTTCAGTTTGGTCTATAATTTAACCATGAATCGACTTACGAACGAACAACGCTTGCAAATTATTGAATTTTACTATCAAAATTCATGCTCGGTTAAGAGAGTGCATCGAGCACTGCTTCCAATTTATGGGCAATTTGGTCGGCCTACTGAGGGAGCTATTCGGAAGCTTGTGACTAAATTTCGAACCCAGTTTGCTTTATTGGACATTAAACCACCAACACGCAGACGTAGAGTGAGGACTGAAGAATATATTGCGGCTGTATCCGCCAGTGTTAGTGATGACCGTGAAATGTGGATTCGCTGCCGTTCGCAGCAACTGGTCCTTTGTTACTCCACTACGTGGAAAATTTTGCGATAGGATTTGGGTGTAAAACCTTATAAGATACAGCTGGTGCAAGAATTGAAGCCACACGACCTCCCACAACGTTTCCAATTTGGTGAATGGGCGCTGGCAAAGTTGGAGGAAGATCCACATTTTTATCGAAAAATTGTGTTCAGCGACGAAGCTCATTTCTGGTTGAATGGGTACGTTAACAAGCAAAATTGCCGCATCTGGAGTGAAGACCATCCAGAACCATTGCAAGAGCTACCAATGCATCCCGAAAAAATTACTGTTTGGTGTGGATTATGGGCCGGTGGCATCATCGGGCCGTACTTCTTCAAAGACGACAATGGCCGGAACGTAACTGTGAATGGCGAGCGCTACCGTGCGATTATAACAATTTTTTTTTTGTCCAAAACGGAAGAGCTGGACTTGGCTGACATGTGGTTTCAACAAGACGGTGCCAGATGCCACACCGCACACGAAACAATGGCCCTATTGAGAGGCGAGTTCGGTGAACAGTTTATCTCACGTTTGGGGCCCGTCAATTGGCCGCCTAGATCGCCGTTGGACTATTTCTTGTGGGGCCATGTTAAGGCTAATGTCTACAGGGATAAACCAGCAACGATTGACGCACTGGAAGCCAATATTGAAGCATTTATTCGTGAGATACCGGCCGATATGTTGGAGAGTGTGCCAAAATTGGACCTTGCGAATGGGCCATCTAAAGCGGAGCCGCGGCCAACATTTACATGAAATAATCTTTAAACATTAAATTATATCGACCGTTCTATCGACTCAAATAAAGATCTAATAGTTTTTTCAAATTTTTTGTGTTTTTTTTTAACATCAAATCCTATACCTCTTAAAAAAGTCTTTATAGTAACATATGTATAAGTCGTTAATATGAAGTCGAGAAAAACGAATGTTTTGACAGTTTCATTAGACTTACCTTTTCTAGAGGATCATTGAAAATCGTAATTTTTTCAATCATATTTGGTCTAATCTCTTCATACAGTAGCAATTCCGTATCCGATGGAAAACCTGCCCTTTCGTTGAGCAACGGCACTATTTCGCTTAGCTTGATAGTAACTGGTAAATACCTGCAATCAAAAATTTAAATTGCTATAGTTCCAAGACAATAATACGGTTCGAAGTTTATATCTGACCTGTGGCCGCAATAGTGAATCTTCTTCTGTTTGGGATCGTACATTTTGAAAAAGAGCAAAACGTCAGTCTCCTTGTCAAAGGTGGGCAATACCGTCAATCCGCTATCTGGCGGTAACAGTTCTAAAAAGACGTTCCACGGATTCTGATTCTCGGCCACGTCTATGACCGCCTTGTGAAGGTCTGCTTCCAAGTCCAGAACTGACGGACGGATCGTTTGATTCGACCTGGAACAAACACAAAATTAGAATGATCGAGTGCGCCCAAGAGAGTATTTCTCTTGGCTATGGATGTTGTGATTGTCCGTAGGTGGTAGACGGTCTCCGACTGTCGAACGCGGAAAAAATATCCAAGGGCCAATTTCACCAACATTCATATTTGACGGTCAGTTGGACCAATAGGGAAATGCAATTTGACGGAAGCTGTCAAAGCTCACTGAATATCAGTGATTTCTATTGAAATGTTGAATAAAGTCGTGAAAAAACGCTTGCCTTATAAATAAGGGTACATTATAGATGTAATGTTGTCTTTGTGCTTTAGAATTAGGATAACTTTCATGGAATTTCAAATTTTCATCATTTCAGAAAAGACGGTCAGTTATTTAAATGGACCAATGAAAATGAGAGAAATAATAGGTCGATTTTCTAGCTATTATATTTGGTAGGATGTTTTCACTGTTTTTGACGACTGTGCATGCATGGCAATCTAGTTTTGTCTGTATATCACGTACAGGGTGCATAATACGTACCTGTAGAAATGTACCAATTTTTGTTATTTTGCAAAAGGATATAAAACGTATTCCAACTGGTTCATCATCTTTTGTTACAATTTTCGCCAATTTATGATCTAGAAATCCATACCAAATGTAAACAAACAGCACATTCTGCATTTCTGAGTCCTAAATCAACAATATTTGTAAAAGTATCCGCATCCACCTATTTATGTAAATATACCTCCAAACATTGTTATATTTTATTATTATTTCTATTATTATAACACGTCTGGGATATCAATTGCTTTTAAAGGGATGTGCACATCTGCAGTGTTGCCGAACCGGCAAAAAAAACGGAATCGGTAGTGTCGTTGAATTCGGTATAAGGTAAATACCCTCGCAAGATCAGAGGTAGATCAAGGACCTTCGAGTCATGAAAAACGTCTGTTATTGTATTGGGCGCGCGCAACATGTTTTTTTGGGGGCATAGTTCTATATTACAACTTGTACAATGTGCATACTGGTCGCTCTTTCAAAGTAATTTGCAACCATTCTGGAAATTCCTTTTTCGATTCTTGCTTATAGGAATATGAATATTTTAATTAAATATTTATTTTGAAAACAGACAGGTTTCGGTTTCTTTATTGCTTGTCCGGTGATTAGGTAATGACGGTAATCGACCAGTCTGTACCTTTTGTATGCACAAAAATCAATTCAGGGCAAGCGGAGTAAGGGATGAGGATGTGCGTTCGTAATCGTAGGCAACCTAAATCTACGCCTCTCATGTGCCCGATTGCCCGAGTGTGTATGCATATGTATGATTGATATGGGGCATAAAACTATGAAGACTACATAAAATTAACTTTGAGCTTTAGTTTTAGTTTCAGCTCTTTTTCGGCGAGTATAGAAATATTTAAATTATTTTGAAAAATCGTGGAGAACGATGTTATGGTAAATATTCTCTTTTCGGTAAAAATACCGAAAAATCCGGTTCAAGTCCACGCATAGACAATCTGAAATTTGCAAAATGGATTTATATTCTAAATTCTGTGCATATCCGTTCATATTCGTCAATATTTCATTTGAAGCTTTCATTTGTCATAAGATTTTAGCAAAATGTAAGACAGTAAAGGCAACACCGCACCCTGCAGCCCAGTTGACAAGAACGACAAGCTGTCAAGATTAGGGATGCTTAGATCCACGAAAAGTATCGTTATGTATCGATTCTTATCGTTTTAGGAAGTATCGATACTCTAAAATATTGGAATAAAATTATCGATATCCAGCGGAAGGAAACAAAGAAAAGTAATCTGAAGTTAGTCACTCTTTCTGACACAGTCCGGATCGAAAGATGACGATACTCGTGAAATGTATCGATACACCCAAGTGTCGTATATAAAAATATCGATCCAAAATATCGGGTATGGGAAGCAAAAGTATCGATACTTCTAAATATAGGATCGTATCGAACATACCTACTGTCAAGATGTATAATCCGAGGTACCGATGGAGCTATTTTGCGGCGTCATGGAAATAATTTTAAATTTTCATTTGCATTTTTTCAAGTGCTGTGCAATGATTTTGGGAAAATTTCCATATAGTCTTATAAAGCATAGTAGAGTATATGTCAACAGTTGGCGGAGGGACCAAGGGTTGACGGATCCCACACATGTATCACTTGTTGGGGAGTTTTGAAATATAATAATCAGCTGTTATTCAAATAATGTGTAATATAAATATAACCTAGAATGTGTACTCAGTGAAACAAGAAAGTTATTGCAAATTCTATTTTTTTTTTGCAGGTTTTAAGTTTGCCGGTAGCTTTACGACATATATTTGAGTATTTCTTAATCGCTATAAATATAGTGTGGATGTTTGTTCAGTTCCTGAACAACCAAAAAATATTTTACTATAATAATAATAATATTTATTCACTCAATGTACAAAGATAACAAACAATATGAGTAAATAAATATAAAATCAAAACAGGCCCAATAGAAGGCATTGCCTGTACATGGACCAATAATTTAAGTTGAAACTGTAGAATGCAAATGACAAAAAAGGACAAAAATTAGCTACAGTAGATTATGTTTTTAGTTGATGTTCGTATTTATGAGTTTATGAATTTCAGTCCTAGATATGGAATGTAGCCACTTTTTTAAATATCTTTTGAAACAATTTCCGAAACGTAAATCTTTTAAGTCTTTAGGTATAATTTCATAAAATTTAGGCGCTAAATAGAGATATGATCGATATGATTATAGATTTATGCGGTTGAGGAACTGCTGTGCCACGAATTTTGTACCTGGTATAATGATTATGTTTAATTTTTTGGTCGGTGTTCACAAATTTATGGTAGTGAGTGATACTGTGTAAGAAATAAAGCTGTCTTATATCATACATTCGAACATCTGCGTATAATTTTTCAGTGGGATAAAGTTTCGGTTTTTTAAATATCATTTTTAGAATACTTTTTTGAAAAACATCTAAATTATAGATATGTGAGGAACATGCAGCTCCCCATGCTAATACGTATATCATATGTGAGATGAGGCTCAATCAGTGCATGGTATAATGTTCGATATTTTTCTGTCAATATATTCCCAAGGTATTTAATTTTGTAGGATACAAATCTAACTTTCTTTAAAATATAATTGACATGGATGTCCCATCGTAAGTGAGGATCCAAGACCACTCCAAGGTATTTTATGTTGGGCACTCTATTAATTTGCATTTTTTGATCATTAATGTTGAAGGAGAAATTTGTGTAATTCGGCAGATGTCTAGCATAAGATCCAAATGGTAAAAAATGTGTTTTAGAGTAGTTAATGCTTAATTTTCTACTGTTAAACCACCGAATAATTTTGATAAAATCATTTTCAATTACATTTTTCAGATCAGACCAGTCAGTGCCTTCATATAATATTGCAGTATCATCTGCAAAACTAGTTATTTTGCCAACACAATTAATTTGGAAAATATCATTTAAATATATATTGAATAACAGCGGACCTAAGACAGTTCCTTGTGGGACACCACACTTAATATAAATTTCTTTACTAAATGATCCTGATATCTGCACAGATTGTGGGCGATTTGACAAATAATTTTCGATCAGTGAGTACGCGTTTCCTCTGAAACCGTTTCTCTCCAATGCTTCTAATAATAATTTCTGATTAACCGTGTCGAAAGCTTTCTTTAAATCAACAAAAATGCAGATTGAAGGGATTGTGTTATCAATATTTTGATGTATTTGATTTACAATTTTAGTTATTGCGTCCGATGTAGCCTTCCCTTCTGTAAATCCATATTGATTTTCACTTAAAATTTTGAATTTTGTGAGGTATCGAATCATTCTAGTAGATAAAACTTTTTTAAAAACCTTTGCTACACTGGATATTATTGATATTGGTCTATGGTTTTTAACATCTGTTTTTGTTCCTGATTTATGTATCGGTATTCAATTACCTTTTTTTAAAATTGAGGGATATATGCCAGATTCAAAGCATTTGTTGATTAGGTAAGTGAGTGGTTCTGTTATGTCCTCGGCTATAATTTTCAAATGCTCGCTTTTAATACCATCGAACCTAGGACTTTTCCGATTTTTTAAGGACATAACAGTGGTGTATACTTCACATTGCTCGACTTTTTCCAAAATAAATGAGTTCAAAGTTCTTTTTGGAGGCCGAGTATTTTGTACATTTGCTTGTATATTACTTGCTAAATTTTCGCCTATGTCAGTGAAGAATTGTACAAATTCATCGCATATCTTTTGAGTATTTGTTAATACTGTTCACGATGTTGTATTTAACTCAGTGACACACTCTTTAAATTTTGTTTTCCCAGTAATCTCATCAACAGTTGTCCAAAGCCGCTTAGGATCATTTAAGTTATTATTCAATTTATTTAGGTAATGTTTTCGTTTGGTTTGCCTTGCAAGCTCTATAAATTTATTTTTATATTGGTTGTAGCAGTCGGTATTCTCTGTAGTTGGCGTTAGTTTCATTACATTATATAGGATGTATGGATATCAAAAATCCTTAATGGTTTTGTGGGAATATCAATCGACAGTGCTATAATGGTACTGATGAACGGCAAGTAAATGAATGGATGTTTGGAAAAGAGCAATATCTATGAAATTTTTGGTAGAGCCTGTCATCAAGTAGCTGCTTAATGGCTATCTACAAGGTTTATAGCAAAAGAACACACGGTAGGTGATGTTGAATCAGTAAAATCGCATATCAATTGAAGAAAATAATATAAACATGAATAAACAATCGACAATATTAAATAAAAACAAATTTTATTTAAAAATCGAAATTTTACCCAAATTATATGTAATTTCTTAGTATTCAATGAGCTGGTGGTGTTTCAATGACGAGCTGTCATCTCATACTTTGACAGTATTTTGTTTTCAAAATTTCATATCTGTTGGTTGCTAAAATTTGTTGATTGGAACATGAAGCTCATTCGCTGTATTTTACCCTCTAGGTGGAGAATAACGGACTGTTGATTTGACAATCCTGGTGAAATCCACCTAAGTCATGTATCTTTCAAATTACAGATAGACAGGCACACCGACGAAAATGAGCGACATGTTATTTTTCGTGATGCACATGTGATGTAACATCCAAAAAACATACTATCTCAGATTCGAACATTTTCGCGATTCTCCAATTTTGGCACAGGGGGTAAAAGGATGTGTTAAGAATATGATGATACCTTTGACTGAAGGGCCAGGGCCGTATCTGCTCAGGCGGGAACTTGAACGCGTCCGCGAGCATCTCCATCAGCTCCGCGACGGTGGCCATTTTCTTGACCCGGAACGCCCGGAACAGCGCCCGTTCCGGATCGTACAGATCGTTGCCTTGGTGACCGTCGAACGCGTCTTCCAGCAACACGTTCACGGTCATGTAGAGATGGGCTTCGTTCCGTTCCTTCCTGCGCACCTGTTCCATGCGTTTCTCCTCCGCCAAACGGTCGGCCAGCTCGCTTGGGATGTCCGCGTCAGTCACCTGAAAAAATAAAACTTGTAGTTTTCATGTCGATCATCTCCCTTGTTCGTCCGGCCAATAAAACCACATACTTGAGAAATTCTTCTTCGATGGATCAGGGATCTTCAGTACATGACAAAAGTGTCGTTTTATGTTTATTTATTTATTTCCTCTCGCCTAAACACATTGTACAGGAAGAGTCATACATTTTCAACTAGTCCCTTTTGTAGAGAATTGATGTCGCATTACAGATTAAAGATTTTCAAACATTTTTCATAAGTGCAATCATAACCTAAGCCAGTTTCTTGTAGAGAATTGATGTTGCATTAAAGATTAAAGATTTTCAAACATTTTGCATGAGTGCAATCATAACCTAAACCAGTTTCTTGGCTCTTGTCAATGACTCCAAAGGCTCAGTTTAGGCAATTACAAAAAGGAACAGACCACAAACAGTTTAAAATCAAATAACAACTGTGCCGAAATCACTATTAAAAACGTGCTGAAAAACTGTTTGGAAATTTTGGGATATCCTGTATTAAATTGGATCAATTGTTCACTGTTAAGCAGTTCTTTTCCTGAAAATTTGAAATGCTCTACAATAAGACCAGTTCCCAAAATAAACAATTCTAAATGATGCAGCGATATGAGACCAGTAAATGTGTTACCAGACATTGAAAAATTATTAGAGTCCATAGTGCATGACCAATTAATGCAGTTTATAGAAGAAAACAAAATTTTAGTGTAGGCAAGCAGGCTTTCGAAAAAAATATTCCACAGAAACGGCTTTCCAGTTGGTAACTGAGAATTGGAGAAGAGCCATAGACTCGGAAGAAGTTGTCATAGCAGTATTTTTGGATTTGAAGAGGGCATTTGAAACGATTGATAGAGATATTTTGTTAGGTAAATTGAAGGCATATGGTATAACAGGAAGTGTTTTAGATTGGTTTAGAAATTATTTGTCTAAAAGGATGCAAGTTACTAAAGTTAATGACACTATTTCATCAAAAATTGAAAATACGTTGGGTGTTCCACAGGGCAGTATCGTGGGACCACTTCTTTTTATTTTATACATAAATGATTTACCTGCCATAGTCAAAAAATGCAAAATTCAGATTTTCGCCGATGACACTATGATTTATATAAGTACTAAAAATATTCAGTCTTGTATCTCTTATATAAATGAAGACTTGCAGCTTGTCTCAAAATGGTTAGCATCTAACAGACTAAAATTAAATGCAAGTAAAACGAAAGCCTTGATAATCGGAAAAAACAACGTAAAAATGTTCAACTGAATATTGATGGTGAAGATATTGAATTCGTAGAAAATTTTAAGTACCTGGGGGTTTTTGTTGACTCTCGATTAATTTTTGATATTCATTATGAAAAAGTTATAAATAAGATTAGTAGTAAAGTGGGATATTTATCGAGAGTTTCTGGATGTCTGAGTTCACATAGCAGAAAAATTATCTATAATACCATCATACTTCCAAATTTCTTGTACTGTTCGACTATTCTATATTTAGCAAATAATGCCATTTTTGAAAGACTGCAAATTTTACAAAATAGGTGCATGAGGATAATACTAAATAAAGATAAATATACTCCAATTAGGCAAACGCTTAGCAAATTAAAATGGCTCAATGTAAAAAATGTTATCAAATATCTTGTAATGATATTCATTTATAAAGTAAAAAATAATATATTTCAATCAAGTCTAACTAATTTAACATCATCAAATGTCGACCATCATTTACATAATACCAGAAATAAAGATGACTTCCATTTAATGACCAAAAAGTATAACATATGCTACAAATCTGTATTCCATCAAGGGTTGATTGAATATAATAAATTATACTCGGAGATAAAAGACCAGAAAACTTTGACAAAATTTAAAGTAAAGTTGAGAAATCACTTGTTAAATCTACAATTATAGGTTGCCCAGCATTTACATCATACACCATATGGCTTGAATTTACTAGTTCTAAGTTGTTTACAATTATTCTGTTTATGTAGCCAAATGTGCTAAATAAATCTTTCTACTACTACCACTACTACTACAATATTCCTGCATTCTATATCATGTTGGTTCTAATATCGTCCTTTTGAGATACGTTCAACACTCATTATCTTACCTCTTGTAGAACGTTGTTCAACTCCGAATCCCTTATGTATACCAACATGTAAGCGTTTGTACAATGTTTGACGCTCATGTTCAGGTCCTCGTCGTGACCACCATAGTTGTGTTCGATCGCCTCTTGCTTCGTACACCGCGACACTACGTCGTCGTCAAACTTGCACCACTTTCCATCACCTGAAATGAAAAACGTACCGGTCGTACAAAATCCCGAAAGTCTTATACTCGTATCAAAAAAAGCTTGTGGAAAGGGGAATCAAGGCTTTAGAAAATTTTGAGTTCTTGACCACCCTGTACGAACCGTTGAAAAAACTGAAAAAGTGAGTGGATAGGAACAAAGTATGGCGTCATAAATTTTTTCCAACGAAAAATTCAGCACTCTTGTCTCGAGCTGCGAGCTGTCGAAATTCTGTGATCAACGTTTCCAATGGTGAATTCGTTTTTTCAAATAAAAAATTCCTTATGCCTGAAAAATATGTAGGAACCTTATTTTTTAAACAACCGTCGTATCCATACAAATATGCAATAAAATGTAATGTTTTCCATTAGAAAGTTTGGGTCACTAAATATACTAAGTGACATATAAATCCGAACACCCAGTTTAAATGGTTTTATTTTAATAAAATTTTGTATAAGTACTTAATGAAGCATAATAAGTAAATGATAAAAATTTCAAAATGATTGCACTGCTTTAAAGCCCTTTGACCTTTAATAATGTGTGGATGCACCATGATGTGCTACGCATTCGGGTGGTCAATGTCCTCCTGTGGTATTTCATTCCAGGCAACCACCAACTCCTCTCGAAGTGCTTCTAGAGTCTGAGGTGGACGTTGCAAATTGAGCAATCTCCTACCCATCATATCCCACACGTGCTCAATTGGGGATAAGTCGGGAGATCTTGGTGGCCATGGTAACAATGTGACATCATATGTTGAAAGAAGTCTATTGTGACTCTTGCAACATGTGGTCGGGCATTATCTTGTTGGAAAGTTGGATCTGCCAGGGTGTCAAGATAGGGTAAAAGATGGGGTTCTAGAACTTCGTGGATATAACGCTGCGCGTTCATGTTACCTCTGATGAAGATTAAAGGTGACCTGGAACCATAAGCTATAGCACCCCAAACCATAACTCCAACAGTGTGATGAACATGTCTTTCAACAAAAAACTGTGGATTCCTCCTTTCACCCCGCGGCTTCTAACCCTGGCACGACCATCGTGCATGCCTAAACAAAATCGAGACTCGTCACTAAAGCCAATACTGTTCCATTCCTGATCCCAGAGTGACCGTTGTCTGCACCACTCAAGGCGATTACGTCGGTGTTCTCGAGTTAAAGGGAGGACCCAGTGTGGCCGATATGAAAACAAGCCAAAACTTCTCATTCGTCGGTAAACACTTCGCATGCCAATAGGTCTTCCGTGTTCTGCAAACCATTCATTTGCAATGAACCTGGTAGTGGAGAAACGGTCCCTTAAGGCCAATAATCTTAGGCGGCGATCTTCACGGTCTGTTGTTCTACGGCGGCGTCCAGTGCCCCTTGCTCTTTGCGTACGGCTTTCTCGAAGCCATGCCTGACAACACCTCACCAGTGTCTACACTTCTTTGCACTCTAACTGCAATTGACCGAAAAGAAAGTCCAGGTTCCCGAAGTCCCACTATACGGCCCCTATCAAACTCACTAAGTTGACGAAATCGTACAGGTCTCCGTACTCTAGGCATCGTAACCGATCGTAAAGGATGTCAAGAACCAAAATCCGCCAACGTTGATTCTTTACTGCGGCTGAAATATTAATTTTTAGAGCGTTAGTGAATGAAAAAAAAGCAGTATAAAAACCGGAATGTCCAACTGATAAGGCTGAAAATTTTTTCACTTGTTATTTACAGTAAGATAAATACATTCACCAACTTTTATTAAAATAAAACCATTTAAACTGGGTGTTCGGATTTATATGTCACTTAGTATATTAGTGAGTTATGTATGTAGGCTCATATTGCCTTGTAAATAGATATTTTTCTGTTAGGCAATAAACGCGATTATTATTACTCGAATACGTAACACTTTATATCACAAAAATTATCAACAACTTACCCTTAGGATTGATAAAAACGACGTAATGCCCGCCATGGTTATCGCCGCTATGCACCAGCACCGCATGCAACGTATAATTAGCCGGATTGTTCGGATCCGGCTCTTGAAGGTAACTGTCCAGCGAGATCTTCTCGTAGAATTCGAAACGATCGTTGAACTTGACCGAGCTGTCCGTGATCGGATCGTATTGGAAACGCATCAGGTGCAGATGTAGCACCGGCGGGAAGGCGGAGAATATGACGCCTTTCTCGGCGTCTTGGAGTCCGTGTTCGCCGGCGTCGTACTTGTTGTCACCGTCCAAAGTCTCCTTCGCTATGTAGTCTTTGAACGATTCGTCAACTGGAAAGAATTCGAATGTTTTATGGACGAAGGCCCGCCGTTTCAATCGATTTTATTATAAACTCAAATAGCTTCAGGATGACTGATGATAGGTAAAACTTTATTATTGAAACTTCATGCAACATCTAAAAATAAAAAAAAATGGGGGTTCCGTTTAAAAATCTACAGTGCGATGCAATACAGGGTGTCCGCAAAGTTGGGGTTTTCCTTTACACGACGTGTAGATCTTGAAAACATAAGCAATGTTTCTTAGTACCATATACACCATGTCTTAAGGGAACCGAGATAAAGGGCTCTGCAACATCAAAAATATCTGAATACCGTCCTGTAGCCGCGACATCACCGACTGGTACAAGATCACTGGCTCAACCCGACGACAGAACTGGGTCGGGGTCAGTGTGTCAGGTCAGTATGCAACCTTCAACCGACGGTTACGGTCACGCGTGTAGAGGTAATCGCGTAGACTAGAATCCCTCAACAAGCACTAGAGACGTGGCTAGAGAAGTGCAAGTATCAAAAACTAAAGTGTGGCAAACGCTGCGTGAAGAGGGGCTGTATCCGTTTCACGTCCAACGTGTGCAAGCCCTCCAACCTGACGATTTTCCAGCAAGAGTGCGGTTTTGTGAGTGGTTGTTGCATCAAAATGACAATAATCCGGACTTTTTGAAGTGCATATTGGTGACAGACGAATCTACGTTCACGCGTAATGGGGTGAATAACTTTCGCAACACTCATGTTTGGTCATTTTCAACAAACATTTTCGGTGAATGTTTGGGCTGGCATGGTGAACGGTATGCTCATTGGACCATTTATTCTCATAAATCGATTGGACGGGATGCAATACCTAGACTTATTACGCAACATTTTGCCTTCCTTGTTAGAAGATGTGCCATTAAGTGTAAGACAATCAATGTGGTTTCTGCGTCTGCTCGGTAGCGCATCAGCTGATTTCATTTTCTGTTGGAGCGGTATGATTTCGGGCAGAGACGTACTTAGCCCTTCTCGTCAACTGGAGAGTGAGTACTTTTTCCTTTATTTTTTTTACTTGGTCGCCCTCGTTTCACTACACATTACCTTTGTTATTTCACTGTAGTTGTTTCTGAAAAGGAAAACCCCAACTTTGCGGACACCCTGTAGATGAAAAGACATTCCCCTAGAAATCAAAATGGACGTGCCCGAACATTTTTCCCAAAATACACCAGTAGAGTCACAAACGGGGGTGCAACCTTTGCGATGGGCCATCCTGTATATAAAAATATAAATCTCACAATTTCTATTAAAAATCATGCATTAAAGTACCGAATCTAATGACAAACTTACTGTTTTTCTTTCCTTTAATGTTTAACTGTATATCGTAGAACGTTTCTGACCTAGTACTAGAATAATCAACATTTTTACATCTAATGTAGGATATCATCTTTCCTTCGAACAATTTCGGAACCGTGCCTTCAACGCACGTGCCTTTCATCTTGCTCTCCAGCTTATCCAACAGAACCTACAAGAAAAAAATGTCTCGTTAATACTTCCCACAAATGCTCCGAGCATAAGCATTAATATACAGGGTGGCGTATCGAAAACGAAACAGACGCATTTACTGGCAGCTCAGTTTTGTTTTTGGAAAAACGCTCAGACCCGTCGATTTTGTTTTCGAGGGGGACACAATTTTGGCAAAAAATCACGTTAGCACGTGCAGCCCCCTAAGCGGGGGTGACAATACCACCCCCAAAATCTTAAATGGAAAGGGGGGTCGAGTGATACCTTATTTTAAAGGTCTTTCAATTCCCTTTATAATGATATAAAATTAATGTACTTCAGTTCAGCAGTGTTGAAGATTTAATGATTCAAAGCTTAAATAAAACTACTACATCATCATTAGTGGAGATCAATACATTTGGCAGCAAAGTAATTTAAAAATGAAGAATGAACTGACCCGTTAGGCAAGTAAATGTTGAAAATGGCCGCCATGACTCTGAATGCAATAATAAAGATTTTGGTCAAAACGTTGGCGCACATTTTGCAATATTTGAGGAGTAATTTGAAGGCACTCATTCACGATTCTTTGTCGCAGGTCTTCTAATGATGTTGGCTGAGTAGCATAGATTTTGCTTTTTAAATGACCCCACATAAAGAAATCCAAAGGTGATAAATCTGGCGATCTTGGGGGCCATTTAATGGCACCTCTTCCACCAATCCATCGATCTGGAAACGTCTGATCTAAATATTGTCGAACACGTAATGCGTAATGTGGTGGGGCACCATCCTGTTGGAACATCAATCTATTCGCAATGTACCGCCTATCATTCTGATTTTCAATTATGGCTGTTAATGCAGGATCTATGGCATCTTCCAGTAATTCCAAATACATTTCACGGGTTAAATTTCCAGGAAAGAAAAAAGGACCAACTAAATACCAGCCCAAACATTTATTTTTTTGTGGCTGCTGAGTATGAATCTCATGATAAATTCTGGGATTAGAATCGGACCAATATCGGCAGTTACGACGATTTACTATGCCATTTAAGAAAAAGGAACATTCGTGGGAAAAGCAAGTGAATAGAAAATGTTCATCATTTATAATTCGTTCACTCATATCTTCACAAAATTGTAATCGCCGATCAAAATCGTCTTCATTAAGTTCTTGTACCAGGTGAATTTTATACGGATGAAAACTATGGGCCTTTAGAATCCGTTGGACAGTACGTCGACTAACACCACACACAGTCTCCAATTTGCGGGTACTTAACGTAGGATCTACATAAAGTTGCCCTAAAACCTCCACTTCTATGGCTTCGTTCCTTATGGGATTTTCAATGTTGCGTTTTTTATTGGCGACTGACCCAGTTTCCCGAAATTTAGCTACAAGTTCTAGAACATATTTTCGATGCACGTTACTGTTCTCATGCCGCTCATTAAATATTACTGCTGTTCTATTAGCGCACTGATTATTTCCGAAAAATATTTCGATAATTTCAACTCTTTCTGCTGTGGAATACACCATGGTTAATTTATGTAATAAAGCGTTACAAGTTATTTTAGCAACGAAGTTTGGTCAAATCAATTGCAAACTATGTACTAAATTGCTATTTAAAATAAGTACGAGATATTTCCTTATCTTCCTTCAAGAAATAGCTTTTTTGCCACAAAAAAACGCTCCAATAGCTATTTTCAACAACAAAATGATAAACAAACCATGGGCGTAGTGAAGAAAAGCATTTACTTATTTAAGTAAATTCTTTTAGTCAAATTTCTTCTGAAAGTAGTACAAACTAATCTGATATACCTATTAAAGTCTACTTTAAGCTTTAAATCAATAAATCTTCAAAACAACTGAACTGAAGCTCATGTATTTTACATCATTATAAAGGGAATTGAAAGACCTTTAAAATAAGGGATCACTCGACCCCCCTTTCCATTTGAGATTTTAGGGTTGGTGTCACCCCCACCCAGGGGGCTGCACGTGTTAACGTGATTTGTCGCCAAACTTGTGTCCCCCTCGAAAACAAAATCGACGGGTCTGAGCTTTTTCCAAAAAAAAAAACTGAGCTGCCAGTAAATGCGTCTGTTTCGTTTTCGATGCGCCACCCTGTATGTAACTAAAAAGTACCGTCAAGCAGGTTGACTCTCCACTTCGCACGCAATCCTGTAACCACTTCATAAAAGATTGCGTACAGCATAAATAATCATATGAAAAAAGCTAACTGCAGTTATGTATAATGAAAGAATTAATTGGACCAAGTCAGTCAAATCATTTGACAACGTTGCAATATTGAAATGTTTTCTCTGCTTTGTCCAGCAGCGAACCCGCGGCGTTCGTTGCGCTTGACGCGTGTATTGAAAATACTTCTATCGTCACATTATTCTTCAACTCACCCTAAGAAACTCCTGCACGTCATGCTGCATGAAGGAGTCCAACGTTTCCCATCCGAAACTCTTCGTTAACTTCTTGGTACCGACCGGTTTGTCGCAGAACTGCAATTCGTGGAACACCCTTTGCAGAGCCAGCGCCACCGATTTCGTCGAATCGTCCGATTCGGTGGGCATTTTGTAGACCGCCCGGCGCAGCTGATTCGTGAAGTATAACGTCTGCAGGAGGGAGTTCATGTAGCAGGTGGCGCCTTGATTCTTCAACCCGACGTAACCTGAAAAGGCGAAAGTCATGATACTACAGGGTGTTCAACGGGAAAGATCACATTTCAAATTTGAATTACGCGTCAACCGTATACGCGAGGAAGTGGGGAGAGGGGTAGATACAAAAGTAATAAATCGCACAATACCTGTATGCTTCTTGCTGTCCCACGACACGCCGTGCGGCGCATCAGCCACCACCTGGACCTCGAGCGTGATCGCGTCGTCCTTGATGAAGCCCTTCTCCGGATCCAACACATCGTTCCAGGTCATGAAGTGCGAGAAACCCCAATCGTTCTCCTTCGAGTAGAACAGATGGTGGATCTTCCTGGTGAAGTGCTCCTCCTCCGATCGTACGGACAGCAGGCGAAGCTCGGCTACGGCGTAGCACGACCAAGAGCTGGATTCGCTCTCGCCGTTGCACTGCAGGAAGAAACCGAGCGATTTCTGCGTGGTGCGGTCCTGGGCGTGGCTGGTGCGTGGCATCACCATTATCTTCCAAGGCAGGTTGCGGACGAAGCATGGCGGAGACAGCACAGAATCCTGGAAGGAAAATTACATTACGTTCTCATATCTTTATCGTTGTTAACCACTCAAGTGGAAACCGATGCCGGCGCGAGTAGTGGTGGCGCCAGGAAACTGGGCAAGCTACTGGCGCTAATAACACTGGTGATCATTGTGGCATTGACAAAGCAAGGTGGTTATTATGTAAAACGAACCCAAAAACCAGAAATAGCATTCGATTTCTTCTATCACCCACGGTTTTCTTGCAATAAGGCATTTTATTTGTTGCTTATACTCGTAAAATATAAGGATATGTGTGTAAGAGTACTAATAAACGCTCGAATAGACATTAATCTCAGAATGTTGTTGTCGATGTTTTACGAAGTATCTCTTAGCAATGTCCAGCAATAAGCAGCAAGCAAATTGACACTCCATTTGCCTCAATACCGTTTTTCCTTAGCAGAAATGTATTGGTGGAACCATTGACCGCACCTAAATTTTCAGGAAAAAATCGAGATCAGAATCCAAAAAGTGAATTTTTAGAGGCATGTTAAAAAAATTTGTAGTAACTGATTTAAATGCATTCCAAGCTCGTAATTCAGTTTCATTTAGAGCACTGTCAAATACATCATCCTTTATGATTGTCCATATTTGTGGACCCACAAATATGCCCTCTTCAATTTTTGTCTAAGTCTCGGAAATGTTTGTTTTAAAAGCAGAAACCCTCTTCCATTTCGATAAATAGCTATCACAAAAGTTTTCATCGGTCCCAACTTAATATGTAAAGGTGGAAGCGACACGTTTTTGGGATCAACTACGGGGGCATTTTGCGATTGTCGCCTCTTAACCTATTACAACATATATGAGGGGCCAATAGTTTATCTTGGTCGCCGTATTTAAATCCAAAATATAGATCGTAGGCTTCCAACACAAGGGGAGTAAAAGTACTTTTTTGGGATTTAAAAGTTAGCTCTCCGCACACAACAAAAACTGTTCGCACTATTTACACAATTTCTAGGCATTGCCCATAAAACTAGTCTCGATATAAACTAAAAACACACCGTTTTAACAAAAATTAACAGTACTCAGAACATCTTAGTACTCTTCAACACAGAAAACGTAACTGACTCGGCTGCTATCAGTCTACTAATAAACGCTCTCTAAACATAGAGCTCGCATATAATAAACAGGAATAGACAGGTCTTAACATTATATATGTGCGTCATCGCATAAACGCCTAGAAATGCAGCAATATGAGATGTTACGTATTGTAATTCATAAAAGTAGATGGTGATAGAAAAATTCTGTTTTTAGATTTGATTTAAAGGTCTCAAAATACATAAGATACACCCAAAAATTGTCATGTCACAATTCCTGTGTTTATCAGTGTAATCACTGCATATGGAAACTTTGCTTTATACAGAATACTACATGTGGTGAAAAACAGTAAGCTATATAATATAAATGAAATATATAAAAATATAAGCAAAAATCAATATAAATATAACAATTCATATAAATGTTCAATTCCAACTTTATATACTCAAGGTTGTATGTACATTCGATATTCTCACTTATGTTATAAGAGCTAATGATTTTTTAAGATGTTTCAATTCGAAAATAATTACCGATTTGCTGTATTTCAACTGGTAATTTATCGTACGGTTTGATGCAGTATATATACTAAGTGACATATAAATCCGAACACCCAGTTTAAATGGTTTTATTTTAATAAAATTTTGTATAAGTACTTAATGAAGCATAATAAGTAAATGATAAAAATTTCAAAATGATTGCACTGCTTTAAAGCCCTTTGACCTTTAATAATGTGTGGATGCACCCTGATGTGCTACGCATTCTCCAACGCGCCTAGGCATGCTTCTGATCAGGTGGTCAATGTCCTCCTGTGGTATCTCATTCCAGGCAACCACCAACTCCTCCCGAAGTGCTTCTAGAGTCTGAGGAGGACGTGGCAAATTGAGCAATCTCCTACCCATCATATCCCACACGTGCTCAATTGGGGATAAGTCGGGAGATCTTGATGGCCATGGTAACAATGTGACATCATTATGTTGAAAGAAGTCTATTGACTCTTGCAACATGTGGTCGGGCATTATATTGTTGGAAAGTTGGATCTGCCAGGGTGTCAAGATAGGGTAAAAGATGGGGTTCTAGAACTTCGTGGATATAACGCTGCGCGTTCATGTTACCTCTGATGAAGATTAAAGGTGACCTGGAACCATAAGCTATAGCACCCCAAACCATAACTCCAACAGTGTGATGAACATGTCTTTCAACAAAAAACTGTGGATTCCTCCTTTCACCACGTCGCCTTCTAACCCTGGCACGACCATCGTGCATGCCTAAACAAAATCGAGACTCGTCACTAAAGACAATACTGTTCCATTCCTGATCCCAGAGTGACCGTTGTCTGCACCACCCAAGGCGATTACGTCGGTGTTCTCGAGTTAAAGGGAGGACCCAGTGTGGCCGGTATGAAAACAAGCCAAAACTTCTCATTCGTCGGTAAACGCTTCGCATGCCAATAGGTCTTCCGTGTTCTGCAAACCATTCATTTGCAATGGACCTGGTAGTGGAGAAACGGTCCCTTAAGGCCAATAATCTTAGGCAGCGATCTTCACGGTCTGTTGTTCTACGGCGGCGTCCAGTGCCCCTTGCTCTTTGCGTACGGCCTTCTCGAAGCCATGCCTGACAACACCTAACCACAGTGTCTACACTTCTTTGCACTCTAACTGCAATTGCCCGAAAAGAAAGTCCAGCTTCCCGAAGTCCCACTATACGGCCCCTATCAAACTTACTAAGTTGACGAAATCGTACAGGTCTCCGTACTCTAGGCATCGTAACCGATCGTAAAGGATGTCAAGAACCAAAATCCGCCAACGTTGATTCTTAACTGCGGCTGAAATATTCATTTTTAGAGCGTTAGTGAATTAAAAAAAATCAGTATAAAAACCGGAATGTCCAACTGATAAGGCTGAAAATTTTTTCACTTGTTATTTACAGTAAGATAAATACATTCACCAACTTTTATTAACATAAAACCATTTAAACTGGGTGTTCGGATTTATATGTCACTTAGTATAGTAGGGTGATTTTTTGGAAATGTGTTGTTTTATGTATATGGATGATTTTTAAATTTTTATTTCTAGTATTAAAATTGATGAGCATTAATATTTGGGAACATTAAAATTCTTAACGTAAGTTACACATTTCAAAATGCAAATACAGTGTATGTAAGAATCTCTCGTGATTCCGAAAATCAATATGATTATTCTTTTTTGGGCAGCAAATACTCTATTAATGTCGGAAGACTTCCCCCATAGCATAATGTTATAAGATAATATAGCTATAAGCCAGTCTGTAGATTAAGTAATGAAATAGAAAGATCACTGGGGAAAGGTAAATACGCAAAAAATTATTGTCCACCGCTCTTCAATTTTCAATAGTCGGTAATGTTCTGCCAGATGTTGAAAAAGTGAAATAGAATTTTAACCAAATTATTCAGCTGGATTTAGGAAGAAACACTCGACTGAAACAGCAATGCAAATGGTTTTAGAGGACTGGAGGCGATGTATGGACAATAGGAAACATACAGTGACAGTTTTTTTGGACCATCAACGTATGGCGGCCTCTAGTTGCTTTAAATGTGCATTGTTTTGCAAATTCATCATTCTTTGTTTTGCACGCTGCCGAAAATAGATCGCTAAAGCTATTTTAGGTAAAGCTTTGTTCTATTTTCATCACCCGTAAACACCTATGCAGGTACAAAACAGTTGTTAATTATTCGAATATGAATAAAGCTCATCGGATTCGTTGTGCATTATATTTTCGGTCTGATTATCAAACGATGCGAGTATAATATGTTTATTATTTGGAACGCCCACGTTGCTATTTATGCTTGGTAAAAAAATCGTACCGTAGTGTACATTGTCAATATTACGCATTTCATTCAAATGCCACGATGATAAGCCAAAAACACTATACCTCCTTATACATTGAAAATACTTGCTATTTTTAACATTATCCTCAAAACGACCCATTTATTTTTGGAAATGCTGTGAATGCTTGTGCAATATAATAAAGTTAATAGCTGTAAGTAACGATTAAAAAAAATAATAAATATTGTCCCAACAGATACATCGGGATTTACATTTGGCGCCATTTTTCAATCACTACTTGAATTTCATGCTGCGCTTGTGGCCCGAAAATTAAATTATTACAGATCGTTATACGACGAAGGAAGACATCAATATTGTGACACTAGGAAAATTCAATCTCATTTGTTCATTTCAAATCATGCGATCTAGCATCGCTTGATATTTTTTATAGAGATGTCTCAAAGATAAAGTCTGTCCAAACAATCTGCGAGCAGAAGCAAATCATTTCTCAATTTATTAGTGAAATTGTTCCGCAATTATGCCAAAAGGTTATGAACATTTTACTCGAAGAATGGTTATCTGTAAAAACAGCTGCAGCGGACATTTGGAGAATCGTATTTATAAAACATTTCAACGTTGTTGGTTTTATTTGAAAACAAAATCTCAGTATCTATTGCTATATAAGTCCTCACCAATTATATATCTTTATTAAGTAGAAAACTTTCATGTGGCCGAACATTGAAAATGAAAGCATAATAATATTTATTCACATCAACTACAAATTGTCACAAAAGGAAAATACCCTTGTGTGTGGATATCCTAACACGTATAACGTTTAACACAGTAATTACAATAAATTGATTGATAAGGACTAGAAAAATCATGTAAGGTGTAATATAATGTGTTCTAATTTATTCGATATTTTTAGTTAAGTCATAATTTCATGCATTCAAATATTTTGCAATTGTCTAAAAGATGCAGCGATATGAGACCAGTAAATGTGTTACCAGACATTGAAAAATTATTAGAGTCCGTAGTGCATGACCAATTAATGCAGTATATAGAAGAAAACAAAATTTTAGTGGAGGCGCAAGCAGGCTTTCGAAAAAAATATTCCACAGAAACAGCTTTCCAGTTGGTAACTGAGAATTGGAGAAGAGCCATAGACTCAGAAGAAGTTGTCATAGCAGTATTTTTGGATTTGAAGAGGGCATTTGAAACGATTGATAGAGATATTTTGTTAGGTAAATTGAAGGCATATGGTATAGCAGGAAGTGTTTTAGATTGGTTTAGAAATTATTTGTCTAAAAGGATGCAAGTTACAAAAGTTAATGACACTATTTCATCAAAAATTGAAAATACGTTGGGTGTTCCACAGGGCAGTATCCTGGGACCACTTCTTTCTATTTTATACATAAATGATTTACCTGCCATAGTCAAAAAATGCAAAATTCAGATTTTCGCTGATGACACTATGATTTATATAAATACTAAAAATATTCAGTCTGGTATCTCTTATATAAATGAAGACTTGAAGCTTGTCTCAAAATGGTTAGTATCTAACAGACTAAAATTAAATGCAAGTAAAACGAAAGCCTTGTTAATCGGAAAAAACAATGTACAAATGTTCAACTGAATATTGATGGTGAAGGTATTGAATTCGTAGAACATTTTAAATACCTGGGGGTTTTTGTTGACTCTCGATTAATTTTTGATATTCATTATGAAAAAGTTATAAATAAGATTAGTAGTAAAGTGGGATATTTATCGAGAGTTTCTGGATGTCTGAGTTCATATAGCAGAAAAATTATCTATAATACCATCATTATTCCAAATTTCTTGTACTGTTCGACTATTCTATATTTAGCAAATAATTCCATTTTTGAAAGACTGCAAATTTTACAAAATAAGTGCATGAGAATAATACTAAATAAAGATAAATATACTCCAATTAGGCAAATGCTTAGCAAATTAAAATGGCTTAATGTAAAAAATTTTATCAAATATCTTGTAATAAAGGGTGTCCCAAAATTAACGCAAGATTTGAATTAAATAGAAAATGCCATTTTTAGTCTTTTAATAGTTATATTTTTATTGACTCATAAAGTACATAGGATAGGGTTATGTATGGAATAACACATCGGACAAATGGCCTCCACGGCTTTGCATGCACATGCGCACTCTTTTGTCGAAATTTTCCATGACCCTTCTGCATAAATGTGGCTGAATTTCGTTGATGCAGCGTTGAATCTCCTCCTTTAATGCACGGGTGGTTGTGGGCTTGTTGACAGAGACTTGTGATTTCAAATAACCCCATAAAAAGAAGTCTAATGGTGTTAAATAACACGATCTAGGAGGCCAATTTTGATCACCGAAACGAGAGAGTACACGACCGGGAAATGTCTCATGCAGTAATTGAATTGTTTCACGGGCTGTATGACATGTGGCACCGTCTTGTTGAAACCACATATTGGGTACATCAATATCATTCAATTTTGGCAGAAAGAACTGTGTAATCATGTCGCGATATCGAGCACCAGTAACAGTCACTGCTTGACCAGCACCATTTTCAAAAAAATATGGCCCAATTATGCCTCCAGCCCAAAATCCACACCAGACAGTCACGCGTTGTGGGTGCATTTCTTTTTCGACAATCACACGTGGGTTCTCCGAACCCCAAATGCGGCAATTTTGGCGATTGACAAAGCCATCAAGATGAAAATGTGCTTCATCGCTTAGGATGATTTTGCTTGAAAAATCAGGGTCCATTTGTTGATGTTCAATAATCCATTCAACAAACTCTCTTCTCTCTGCATGGTCATTAAGCTTCAATTGTTGTGTTAATTGAAGTTTGTAAGCATGAAGACACAGATCTTTGGTGAGTATACGCTGTAGAGAGGTTCTTGACATTTGCAATTCTTGTCCACGACGTCGAATTGAGGTTCCTGGATTGTCCGCAACACTCTCACGCACTGCTTCGATATTCACATTTGAACGGCTTGTTTTTGGACGACCAGTGTGTTTGGCGTCTCCAACGGATCCAGTCTCCATGAATTTTTCAATTAATCTCTTCACAGTTGACGAAGTTAAAACACTATTCCGGCCATATTTTGTATGAAATTTTCGAACTGCAGCCGCCAAGCTTTCACTATTTTTGAAATATTCTTTAATAATGAAGACACGTTGTTCTATCGTGTAACGCTCCATTTTTCATAACCCTATACTGTTAGCTGTCAAATTGCTTTTTTTCAGGGTTGCCAACACTTCACTGCACAAATGGCGGCAAATTCAAATCTTGCGTTAATTTTGGGACACCCTTTAATATTCATTTATAAAGTAAAAAATAATATATTTCCATCAAGTCTAACTAATTTAACATCATCAAATGTCGACCATCATTTACATAATACCAGAAATAAAGATGACTTCCATTTAATGACCAAAAAGTATAACATATGCTACAAATCTGTATTCCATCAAGGGTTGATTGAATATAATAAATTATACTCGGAGATAAAAGACCAGAAAACTCTGACAAAATTTAAAGTAAAATTGCGAAATCACTTGTTAAATCTCCAATTATAGGTTGCCCAGCATTTACATCATACACCATATGGCTTGAATTTACTAGTTCTAAGTTGTTTACAATTATTCTGTTTATGTAGCCAAATGTGCTAAATAAATCTTTCTACTACTACTTATTCGATTTCCTCACCGCTTTTCTATTCTAGCAAATCCGTTTTTTAGATTGTCTCTAGACTCTATTTTCTGTCTCGAACCAAATTATAGTCGGCCTTCAATATATCCCCAAATTACTATTTTTCTCCTGAGAATTACACCTGGATACGGAAGAAACACTTTCACATGAAATCGTAGAAACTGACCTAACGCTCACAACTTAGCATTTAAATATAAACCAACTGACCTTCAACTTGCTGAAATTCTGCACGGTGAACCTAAACGTCGCTTCCGATCTGGATTCGTCCTCCTCCATTTCAGCGTCGTGGCAGTGCGGCGCGGCTGCGGCCGCGGCAGGCCCGCCCGCAGCGGCAATCACCGCCTCCGGCTGAGGCCCCATAACCACCACTTCGCCATTCTGCTGCTGCGCCCCCGGTGGGGGCTGAGCTGTGGCTGTCTGGTCCATCTCGCCGCCACCCTGGTCTGTTATGTATTCCATTGCGGTCACTGTAAATGCGGTGACTGTAAGAACGGCCCCCCGAAGTTAACGGGGGGCGCGTTGGGGCCACGAGTAGGAAGACGTCGTCGCGAAATGGGAATTTTAATGACAATGAGTGTCAGGAATGACGGGCGACAGGTGGGAGTGTTGGCAGTCTGCAGGATAGTGGGTCTGGTTCGAGGAGTTGACTAGCTTGGTAGCTTTTTTGTTTTGTGGGCTTTCTTTTATTAATTGGTGCCTGTTCTACAATGGAGCTCTTGAGGAATATTTTGAGGTACGCATTTATACCTCCCGCGCCAACTGGTCCAAAAAAATGAGCAATTGAGATATTGCTTGTTATAGGAAATTGAATCAATGTAATTTATTTAAAACCGTGACTAATCCTCATCGGTCCAGCGTAAATATTGTCAGTATCTACCGTTTTTTGACATTTTCCCAGTGTCTTTTCATCTGTCCAACAATTCCTTGTAATTCAAATTTTTCAGTAAAATATTGCCAAATGGGGACATTTCCGCTATCTTTTGAAAACACAACGATTTAGACAATAAAGGAGAGGAAATACAATTTACATATGTATGATCTTAGGTTCGAAAAATAATTACAAGAAATTAGACTTAAATTTGCCAGTGAAAATTGAGGGAGAGGTACTTGATTTTGTAGTTTTAAATATTTAGGCATTATAATAGATCAGCAACTAACCAACAAACATCTTAAGTATACTAAGTGACATATAAATCCGAACACCCAGTTTAAATGGTTTTATTTTAATAAAATTTTGTATAAGTACTTACTGAAGCATAATAAGTAAATGATAAAAATTTCAAAATGATTGCACTGCTTTAAAGCCCTTTGACCTTTAATAATGTGTGGATGCACCCTGATGTGCTACGCATTCTCCAACGCGCCTAGGCATGCTTCTGATCAGGTGGTCAATGTCCTCCTGTGGTATCTCATTCCAGGCAACCACCAACTCCTCTCGAAGTGCTTCTAGAGTCTGAGGAGGACGTTGCAAATTGAGCAATCTCCTACCCATCATATCCCACACGTGCTCAATTGGGGATAAGTCGGGAGATCTTGGTGGCCATGGTAACAATGTGACATCATTATGTTGAAAGAAGTCTATTGTGACTCTTGCAACATGTGGTCGGGCATTATCTTGTTGGAAAGTTGGATCTGCCAGGGTGTCAAGTAAGGGTAAAAGATGGGGTTCTAAAACTTCGTGGATATAACGCTGCACGTTCATGTTACCTCTGATGAAGATTAAAGGTGACCTGGAACCATAAGCCATAGCACCCCAAACCATAACTCCAACAGTGTGATGAACATGTCTTTCAACAAAAAACTGAGGATTCCTCCTTTCACCACGTCGCCTTCTAACCCTGGCACGACCATCGTGCATGCCTAAACAAAATCTAGACTCGTCACTAAAGACAATACTGTTTCATTCCTGATCCCAGAGTGACCGTTGTCTGCACCACTCAAGGCGATTACGTCGGTGTTCTCGAGTTAAAGGGAGGACCCAGTGTGGCCGGTATGAAAACAAGCCAAAACTTCTCATTCGTCGGTAAACACTTCGCATGCCAATAGGTCTTCCGTGTTCTGCAAACCATTTATTTGCAATGGACCTGGTAGTGGAGAAACGGTCCCTTAAGGCCAATAATCTTGGGCGGCGATCTTCACGGTCTGTCCTACGGCGGCGTCCAGTGCCCCTTGCTCTTTGCGTACGGCCTTCTCGAAGCCATGCCTGACAACACCTAACCACAGTGTCTACACTTCTTTGCACTCTAACTGCAATTGCCCGAAAAAAAAGTCCAGCTTCCCGAAGTCCCACTATACGGCCCCTATCAAACTCACTAAGTTGACGAAATCGTACAGGTCTCCGTACTCTAGGCATCGTAACCGATCGGAAAGGATGTCAAGAACCAAAATCCGCCAACGTTGATTCTTTACTGCGGCTGAAATATTCATTTTTAGAGCGTTAGTGAATTAAAAAAAAAGCAGTATAAAAACCGGAATGTCCAACTGATAAGGCTGAAAATTTTTTCACTTGTTATTTACAGTAAGATAAATACATTCACCAACTTTTATGAAAATAAAACCATTTAAACTGGGTGTTCGGATGTATATATGTCACTTAGTATATATGTGTCGGGAATAAGGCAAAAAAATCGGATATTTTCATAGAATTTGGGACAAAAAATAATCTGATTTACAAATTAAGTACAATACGAATAAGAGACCTTAGTTCAATTAACATCATGGAAAAAATGCAATTGGTAGCAACAAACTCAAAATATTAATACATAAACCATCATCCAAATATGTAGATATCTTATGATTTTTAATAATGTTTCTACAAATATGAATCGTACCTACCAGGTGTTCATATGTAATAAAAAAATCTGTAACACCTAACCTATTTCCTGCTTGGACGTGAATTATCTCCACATTTTGAAAGATAGTCTTTTTCTTTCAACCAGGAAATAGGATGTGGCAAAAAGCAAGGTTACAATGCAATATAATAAATCAACACATGTAAATCGGGTTGGCGCATGTAATTCGTTTTTTAAGGTTTCCCCTAATGAATGAAATGTCACTGTATTGATTTTTCGTTCTAGCCAAGAAACTACAAATGACCTGTAAACGGGAAATTATAAAATTTTTTGTAATGAGTTAAGATTAAATAGAGATCAACAAAAATTGAATTTTTACAGAGTGATTCTTTATCAAGCAGAGTCACAAAAATGCATGTTACCAAAATTTTGTGTTGAAAAATGTTATCTATTAGATTTTACTTAAACTGCACATTTGAATTTTTTAACAACCACAATAATATATATTTTCCCGATGTATAGTTGTTAAGGTATAAGATTCCTTGCATACAGATTATTATATCATTTTATGATGACATCTGACGATATCAAAGCATTCCATCGTTGTTCTGACCATACCCACAAGAGAGCGTTATCGCTACCTTGTCGTTCTAGAGCGGAAACGCTATTATTTGCGATCGATGCTTGAAAAATTTAATTTTGTACAAACAACACGTACTTTTTCAGTTGGTTGTTAAGTATGCATCTCTCGCAACCGGGTACAGAAAATTGATGTTTTCCGATGATCAATCGAAAGGGAAGCTTTGCCGCTCTGGAGCAGCAAATTCGTAAAAACGCTGGCTAATTATATTGCTTGTCAATCCATACTTATTATGGGAATCAAAAATGTTATTTTTTTTATTTTTTCACAATAGAGGACTTGCCCTAAAAATGCAAATGTATAAACATAGCTTAAATCGATAGAAATAAAATATTTTTGATTGAAATTTATGAATGTATTTAGAATTCCAGTTCCAAAACATACAAAGAGAAGAAAAGTTTGACAAGTTATGTAACCTTAGTTGTGTCAGTTGACTTTTCTAGGCTTTCATCATGCACAGTTACATACACCTCATAACAGATGGCACACAGAATCACGCACGAAATGTCGTCACAGTGATTCCCACCATTCTGGCTTTGTTTGAATTTGATTAAGGCCGTGTACAGGGATTTGACATAAAAAATACAAAAGTATACCGAATAATGTCTGTTCTTCAATTTGTAATTAATTTTTCTGTGACTTCAAATACTTAGCCATACTCCATCTCAAGGACAAACTCCATTTTGGCTACCCATTGTGGTACTGTGGTTTAAGGGTTTTGACTTGGTATAGGATCGGAATTCAATAAAAAAAAATGATTGACAGTGAAAGTATGAGGTGTGTAAATTAAGTGACAAGACTGTACTCAGTACAAGAATCAACTCGGTCGAGTGATTTGGTTGCCAGTAGAGTTTTTTTTTTTAAAAAGAATTTTCTATTGTGTTCTAAAAATGAGTGACAACAATTTCGAGCAACAGTATGCTGTCAGGATATAAAACTGTAATTATATTTGAATAAAAAAAACAATTTGCAGACCTCGTATTAAATCCACATCCTTTTTGAAACTGGCCGTTCAACTCACCATCCTGCGTATCCATCTCTTCAACCTGACTGGGCTGCGTTTGCTGTTGATTGGCAGGGGGCTGCTGGTCGTCAGCGGCCCTTCTATAATGGCCGGTGACGTGGTTCATAACTGATGGGGGGGGCTGCTGCTGCTCTGGAGGTGACGTCGTTATCGGCTGCTGTGGTTGTTGTGGGGTGTCTGTTGCCACAGATGCTGTTTTGGTAACAGTCTGTTGTTGGGGTTGCTGTTGCTGAGGTTGGGGAGCGACGATGGCCACTTGCCTACCACCGCCTCCTACGACGCCTGGTGGACCTGCATCATGGGTATGGTTGCTAGTTTTCACCCCTAATGAGGTGCTGGGTCATGCCCAACAAGAGGGTACTGAAGGGGATAATTCTTTCGGGTCGAACAGAGGCTCATATATATTAGACACCAGAGGCTAAGCCTAAGCATACTTGCACTGCATGGAACTAACTATGGGGAATGGAGGATAGGGCCCAAAATATGTAGTTATCGGGAAAATATAAAAAAATCTATAGGCTTTAAAAAAATCGGAATAATCTACACCCTGTGATGATCTCTTAGATCCCCTTACTACAAATTTCAATTTTTTTTTAGATGGAGTGATATTTAAAAAGGATGGTTACATGACTAGACAACTTACGAGTGGCATGTAAAAAATCCACATTTGATCAGACAAGATAGATCACAGTATAGTTTTAAAGTAAACATATGGGACTGGGATCCTAAATAGGAGAATCATTGTATCCTTTGAGTTGCCAGAGCTCCTGAATGGCCAGATCATTCACGTGATACTTGATCTTTTTACTGGTGAGAATATGGGCCCAGCTGATAACCCAATCATTTTTAACAAGATGTCAAGCTTATATAGCTACTGCAGTTTGAACGTTTATTGTTGGATTTATTAAATACATTCATGAATTAATAAAAGTGGTGTTATTACCTATCTTGCTGTCACTATGTCTAAAAACACTGTCTGCCACTTTGTCTAAGGAAAAATTGAAATTTGTAGTAATGGGAACACGACGATCATCACACGGTGTGCATTGATCAGATTTTTCTTTAATGCATATAATTTGAAAAGTACACAACTTAGATTTTTTTATATATTTTTCTAATACTATGACCTGACCTATCCTCCATTTCTGGCTTGATGTTGACTTCTGGCACACCCTGTATAACTTCTTTTGGTCAAGGGATATTAACTGAGAAAAGGACAATGAATAATAATCCACAACTTGTCTGTTAATCCCTTAACTTACAAAATAGTCATGGGGGTGATTCCACAGCACATTTTAAGAAAAAAAGGTGTAGAATATTAAATAATGTATTCTTTCCAAGATTGTTGAAAATGTTTGGGATATCTCTGATATATTTGGACAGCTTTTATCAGTTGCTAATACAACTCCAACTGATATGAATGGTACAATTGAATCTGAACTGGATCCAAACGGCATTTATACACTATCAAAACAAATGTCACTGTACCATAAATGCCTTGCTAGGGAAGCAAAAAGCAAATAGAAGTTAAGATCAAATGCTTATAAATATGTATTAACAAAGAATAAATGAGGTTTAACCAGGTCCTTTCTAACATGAATTAGAAACTGACCAAAATTTCATTTAAATGAATCAAGAAGATTCTATTTAGAAAGGAACTAGTAGACTATGAAATGATTAACTTTCTAGAATTGTTTAGAAAAAGTTTAACTTCAAAACTTCAACAACTCTCAGAATAGTCAGATTTCCTTTAAATAGAACATAGTTGAACTGTTTTAAAATACACTTTCAACTGATGCCACTGCAACACAAAAAATAGTCAATCAACTTGACACCAGTCTCCAAATTGTGATAGTAAATTTTCAAGCTATTTCTAATGGGCTAAATATTCACATATTTTGAAGAATTACTTCAATTTATAGACTACATGTTAACTAAGTATTGTAAGTAATAATGTTTTTACCCTCTTGACATCAAGTAAGTTAACTGTCTCACACTGAGTGGACATCAGTGTAATTTTTTATTATCTAAATTATGTGGCTTAGCAGATATCTAATGCATTTTTGAACGTTTTTACAGTCCTTTTTCTAAAAGGGGTTTAGTCTGCTTCTGTAGGTTAAAAATTCAGCCATGCATAATATCCCTTTAATTATCTTATAATACAAACTGCTGTGTTAATTATCCAAGAAAGTTCACCTTGTTATGAAGTTTCAATATGCTTTTATAACATGTATACTTATCAGTGTGATCTTTATTCTTTATTAAAACTCTAGACAAAGGACAAGATAGAGCTAGTGCACAATAACAAAAGGAAAGGTACAGAATATAGAATGAACAATGCAAAAACAAACTTCTTTTATCTATTTTAGGATTCTGAAACATCAGATGTTTAGCATATCGCATATGACCAAGGTTTAAGTTATTCTGGCCTCAAAATGAGGATCGAAGCATCGCAAAACATTCTGGAGGACCGATTTTGGACAAACTGCGGTAGTGAAACAAAAAATGCACTTTTTTGCACAATGCATGTAAAAAGGGCATATTCGTGTAGGCCTAAATGTGCTGCTTGCATATATGCCATGATCCGCCCACCTTTTACAGTATTATTGACGTATTTTTAAATACCACGGACTATTTTTGTAAGTGTGGACATTATTCTGACAAGGCACGACGAGAACATTGTTCACGTAAAAGCAGATGGCAAAATCTTACCTGTAATCGTTGGGCCGGCGGGTGTTTTGTTCTTTTTGGATAGCGTACCGTCCGTGGTCGACGACACACCGTCAACAGGATGATTAGGATTATTTTTAGCGGCCGATACGGTAGTCAGTTTGACGAAGTGCTTACTTGCGATGCGCCCAATTGCTGCGGGATTTCGGACCCTCTACAAGAGGGAGACCAAGCACACACATATATACGACGGTGCTGAACGAGTCGCCGATCCGACGACGAGTTTTTCAAGTGCTTGCAGATCTATCGCGTTGCCGAATCCCAATTTTTCAGCGAGGAAAATAAACAAAATGGAGGCATTTTCTGCACGTATTGGGCGACGTTGAATGAAAATTTTTTCGGAGCGGATTGTCAAACTCGCCGCGACATCTCACGGACATTTTCCGAACCAATCAGAGACGGTCAAAATAAAGGGAAATGGGAAGAGTCGCTAGGAAAATGGGCGTGTCATACTTGATAAAAGGGTGTGGATGGTTACGAAAAGAGGCGTGTCCGATTTATTTTTGGAACCACGATTTATTTCCGTCTCTGGAACTGACAGCCGGTTGGTCACGTGAGGTTATCTGTTTACTTCAATGTTTACCTCCCTCCACTAACACTTTTAAATTCAAATACAGAAGAGAGAATTAGAGCCGATTTTGCTACCTCTGCTATCACCAGTTCTTTGGACGTTTTGAGATTTTTCAGAAATGAATGTAAATACAAATACTTACAAGAACGTTAGATTATTGCACGTTTCTGTAAATTTCTTATTATAACAATGTATTACAGGGTGGTCAAGATAAACTCAGTAATCACACAATCTTACATCAAGCATTTGTTTGCAACGCCTGCTTAAATATAATGAAAAAGTAAAAAAAAAACATGTTTGTTTATAACTAAAAAATAAATGTAACGTGAAACATCGTTGAAGTCGTAGAAAAAGCTGCTATTAGATACAGTGTAGCACTTTTTTAAAAACATGTAGTGCCTAAATACTGCCATTAGTTTTTTGACATTTCATAAAATAAAGTCAGACAAAAATAAAACCGATTTGGCCAAATTTGAGTTTTTCCCAAATACCTCGGTATATGACTAATTTCTAACACCCTAACACACAAGTAGATGAGTATGCAAGGCTTGACATCCTATCTTTTTTTTAGATAAATTGCATACACTGAGAGATTAGTCATATATTGAGGTATATCTCAATGGCCATATCAATATTAGTCAAAGAATCACTTCCAAAGCGACTAATTTTCACTACATAAGCTGACTAGCACTGTTTAAAGACAATATTACAAAATTTAGCTTATATCTTAGGGGCGTTTTCTGCTGTCCAGGAGGCCATAATTACCTGTTATCAAAGGTATTGTAATTTTTGGTGACAACAGCTTACAGGTTTTTCCGAGGGGAAAATGGAAAAAAATGCTGACAGGTACTGTCATACAACTTTTCCGTCTAGAAACCATTTGTAATTCAAAATCCGCGTTTGTGATTGGTAGAAATTAAGACGAGGGAAATAGTCGCTATGAAAACCGCAGGATAAGTTGCAGATGCCACATTAACACAAAAACTGGTGCCACGGCTTGACTCGTGTTTGAATTTTATGGTGGCTATGTTGAAAAATGGAAAAATGTTCATATTTTAGTTTGTGATACAATTTACATTCATAAATAAAATTTCTCTGACTGGATTGCAAAACGATTCTTACTTAAAAAATGACCCTAGGATAAACCGTTACTTCAATGCTATTTTTTTATTAGGTTAATAACTGTGGCATGCTGGCAATTTTCGATAGTACAAATGAAGACAAAATTGTGGATACGACTTAATTTTTCTTTAGCTGATACAATTAAATATATAATTGTACAAGAGTCTCAGATTTAAGCAAAGAGCCGGCAATGTCGCATGTGGCGTTCGTGCACAATCTGACAACTATGCGGCATACAGAAAAAATGGCGATTGACACTGACATAAATCGACCGTGTTGCTCTATGGATAGCACGTGACTAAATCTTCTTCAGTGTATACGTTTTGTGATCGTCAGACCTTCTTACTTCTTACAATTATTGTAGCACGCCTTCGCCTTTATGGCCTCCTTGATTTTCATAATATTGTTTCTCCTTCAGAAAGGCTGGTGTATTTCTAGATTTCTACTGTTGCCTGTCAGCGTCAGCACCTTCCTAATGTGAGGCTGTTTCCTTTTTGAAATGTAGATAATTTCAGGCTGATACGACTGATGATGTAAATTAAAAGCATGAACATGAACAATTTGATGCAAATAGATATTTTTAACATAACCTTAAAATAGAGAGAAACAGTAGAAAATCAAGGAGGCCATAAAGGCGTCCTACAATTTTGACTGACGATACGGCCCTAAGTTTTGTGCGATTTTCAGGAACTGGATGCAAAGGCTTTTTGTTATGAAATAGCGTTTATTCACTTGTCAAAAATGTAAATTCATGTAATAACAATAAACTGAGTCACAGATATGTGATTTTTGTCATCAAGGAAATAAAGTGCCTATATCATCACTTTGCTGTCCTGAAGGAAAAACAAAATAAAAGTAATTAATAATATTTATTTAAAAATACAGGAAAAAGATTAAGTAATAAAGGCAAAACCTCAGTATGTATATATTCAATAATTACACAGTCAAACCCAAAATACGCATCAACAATTGCTCTTGCTGTAGGTTATGATTAAAGAAACAATTGACCAACTTTCTGAAAAAGTGAAGAGGATTAAACAAAAAATTCCATTAAATACAGGTGACATTATATCAAAATACCATTAGTTAACCATCACAACTAGGATGTGCTTTCAGTGTGACTAGAGATTTAATCCTTTATTGATAAAAATATGCCAACATGCAAGGATCAAGTGTGAGTAAGGGTCTTGCAAAAATATACTTTCCTATGTACAAACTTTCAATACACATTATAGTAGATTATATCCACAAATTTGGAAGTAGTAATATGGAAAAAAAATACGTACATTGAAGCTGAGCTTTCTTGAGGGGGTTCATACATAAATAAAAGTTTACATGATACTAGATTTTTTTTGATTGTATATACATAATTACATATGGATAGATTGATTATCATTCCAGTCGATTACTCAGAATTACCATTCGCATTCTTCATAGTTACAAAAACCACGTGGACATACCATATTCAAGCTTTGGTTGAATCCGCCTCAATTTTTTTAGTTATTTTCATGCATAGCAATTCTTATATCAAATGCAGGAAACCATGGAGCCTATATACCTTAGGGCCGTATCGTCAGTCGCCTTTATGGCCTCCTTGATTTTCATAGTTTTCCACTGTTCCGTGCCCGAGCTCTAGTTTGAGGTTATGTCACAAATATCTATTTGCTTCAAATTGTTCATGCTTTTGATTTATATCATCCGTTATATAGCCTGAAATTTCATACAATTCAAAAGGAAAACGTAGCCTTACAATAGGAGAGTGCTGAAGCTGACACGGCACAGTAGAAATCTAGAAATAGCCCAGCCTTATGAAGGAGAGAAAAGACTATGAAAATCAAGGAGGCCGTAAAGGCGACCTACAATTCTCTTTATAGCCTCCTTGATTTTCATAGTATTTTCTCTTCCTCAGAAAGGCTGGGGCATTTCTAGATGCCTACTGTTCCATGTCAGGCTGTTTTCTTTTTGAATTGTAGGAAATTTCAGACTAATAAAACAAGTGATATAAATCAAAAACAGCAGTAGATAAACTATGAACATCAAGGATGCCATAAAGGCGTCCTACGTTTGTAGGAACGACTGAAGATACGGCCCTTAGGAAGGACAGGGTTATGACCTAAAAAAACGATAAAATGTCAACTTGTTGACTCGACAGCTGGTAGTGTCTAATAGTTCATTCCGCGCCTGCTGCCAGCGAGCATGAAGCGAACAGCTACATACAGAAAACCTACATATCATAAAAAACCTATACGATATGAAAAAAACTTCCCAAGTTACGTAATACCCCTCCTGGCCAGGGTTGTCAACAAATTCAACTGGACATATCTTACAGCATTAGGAAAGTATTCATATGTCGAATCTATCAAAGCGCAGCGTTGCCAGATGGGTGGTACAGAATTTCCTCAGAACAAGCACAATGAATCCTGCTTCCATTCTTTTTCAAAAATAAAAATCGCCCAAATCAAAATTGATTAATCGAAAGGGGTAGGTTAGATTCAAAGAGCGGGAGGTGCTTTCTGTCCGCGAAACGTGATTTACCCAGAACATTATATCCCCAAAAATTCCTCGAGTAAAAATCTACAAAATTTAGGGAAACATGGCAACCCTGCGAAAGCACTATTGGTACTTCAAGCATCAAGTTCCCTGCTCGCTTTTACAGCACGAACAGCACTACCATAGTTTCTTCTGGTATATAGGCTCCACTGCAGGAATGATATAACTCATTTTATGAGGTTAGTATTGCTTACTTTCTACATTTAAGGAAATAGACACGAAAGTGGTAACGATAACCAAAACGAGAAAATGTTCATTGATCTTGTATGTATGGGCCCATAACCTATAAGTTTGTAAGACTTTGAAATACCACCGGATTTTAGTTACAAAGTCGTTCAAAAATCTGTCACAATTGCATTTTTCAATTTTTTCAGAAGTTGGATTCAGCTCACAACATAACTGATTTCAATGAATTATCATTATAACCACGCGACACAACCAAATAATATTCAGCCAAAGAACAGACTTTCATTATACAATACAGTTCACCAATATTAAAACACAAAAGCCTCACAAGTTTCACTCTTAATCCCAATGACATTCCTTATTTTCTATGACAGTCATCACCAACACTTCAACAGAAATAAATACCCCCCAATGGCTGTTACTGTGTATCTGGTTGAGACACAATCACAATATCCGCACAATCTTCGACTGTGGGTTTTTGATTAATCTAGGTCTTGATTTTCTACCAGTCGCTCCGTAGCGCTTTGTCTACTGGACGTTGACGTGGAAGGCGTTTGATGAGAAGCAGTTGATCTTTGCTGGTGGACAGGCTCGTCGTCGCTATCATCTTCAAGACTGCCCAGGAAGCTGACATAATAAATATAACATTTATACAGGATGTCCCACAAGTCAACGTCAAGCCGGAAACGGGGGATGATAGGTTAAGTATCTTTAAATTGTCAATTCATTTGATAGCACCAGAGAGACACGTTTCAGTTCTATACAAGTATTGATTTAGGTACTACTAATTTAAGATCTCGTTTTCATCTAGTACTGTAACTTATATTTGATGCTTCAAATTTAGATTTATTTGAAAAAAAAAAGAGTTGTTGTTTCTGAAACGAACAATGATATGACAGTCATTATTTTAAGGCACTTACCTCTCAAAGATATTGCCAAAAAGACCTCCACTTCTCTCTTGTCTTGGAGGTTGAAGACCAAAAAAGATTTGTCCTATCTTGTCCAGGTACTGGATATAGCATGGATCCCTCTTGATGCTAGGTTCATATTGTTCACACAGCACTGCAAATGTCTGAAGTTTTTGGCTGTAAAGGACAGCGGGGTTACAATGGACCTTTAAAAAAACCTGTTCATTTGCAACATCTAATAATATAAATTTTCCGACTTTGCCAGTAAAAGCCTCGAATAGCATCAAATGAAAAAAAAATCAACTAACAAAGTCATTGGGTGAGCCTGGAATACACGTTCTTCATGTCATCTCAGGTATATGTAAGTTTATCAACAAACATTAGAAACTATACAGGAAGATTTAAAAAAACAAGCATTGAAGTAATTTTTACCTCTCAATAGCCTTCAAAAGGAACCATATGAAGTTCAACAACGGGAACAAATAAGGCGGACTAGTTCTTCTAATTCTTGGATGCTGCTCTGTATAGCTAGTGAAGGTCTGATTAGCAGTATTTTTATTTTTCAGGCACAGGTATTGGAGGACGGCTTGAGCGATGAACAGGTCTGCTTCACCCTTGAAGCCTTGCTTCATGTGGAACTCAATCAGCAATTTTGCACAACTTTTTCCATCTTGAGAATAGATGAAATGGTGGCGTGCTTGTGCATAGTTTTTTTCTTCCCAGTACACCAACGCTATACTCTGTAAAATCAAAAAGGGGATACCATCAAATGAACACCAATTAAACCCAACTCTGTCAAGTTATATAATTATTATTATTATCATAGCTGGACTACACTTTAGGGCATATCGCAAATATATCATTGCTTATTTTAAAATGAAAGACTAATCATAATTTGATCTAATTTTCAGTGAATATTGTGCCAACTTCTTACAATAAAGGCATTTACATTAAAGAATTTTATTTATCGAATAAACATATTTTTTAGCTTTAAGTAAAAAAAAAAGTACTATTTGGCAACACTGGACAGCATTTGTCTTACATGTCAACAAATGAAGGTTATAAAATGCCCCTTGAGAATTGTTTCTACTTTCAATAATTTCTTGTAAATGCAAAAACTTTGATCTCATTAAAGATTTGCAAAAAAAGATGGTTAAAGAGTTTCAAGAAGGCATTGTAGAATCACAGCACAGTTTACCAAATAACATCATTTACAGCATGTATTTAGAACTGTTATTTTAGCTTATTTCATGGCTAGTTTTGAACCTTTTTCTTGCAAAAAACACTATTTTTTTAAGTTTCACATCTATCTTCCTTAAAAAATTATCATTTCTACTGAATATCTATGATTTTCCCAGAAAATTCCGTAATTCATGTCAGTGTATGTAAGAGTGAGCAGCAGCTGTATTGCATAGTGTCTAATTTCCCTTAAGGATGATAAGCTATGCACATGGTTGTACTCATACTCAACCTGTTTACTTATTTCGTACTGCATTATGTCATAACTGTCCAAAACCATGATAAGAGCTTTTACTCATGTTGACGAAAAACTGAGTAGAGTTATGAAATTTCCAATTTATTTACCCTATGAAAGACAGGATGGCCATGTGTGGAACCTTTAGAAGACCAACGTATGGCGTGTGCTAGGAATGTGTCCCTTTCTGGAGTTAATGAACTCAATCTACCGAATACTTTCGATAATTTTGAGGCCCACGTCACGTAATCATTCTCTTCCGATTTTTCTAACACGTCCACTAACAAAATTGCCAGATCTGCGCCACTGAGTTGCTACAAGGAAGTTTATGTAAAAATAATATATTTTCTTGCGAGTTAAAGTACCTGGTCATGTTCTAGGAACAGCAGAGCTCCGTTATATAGCATGTCCTTTAATTCCTTGTATTTTTTCTGTCCCAAATACCTACAAAGTCAGGTTATGTTTAGAGGGTTCCAGCAATGTAAAATTATATTTCAAAGCGTTCTTTCGACTTGAAGTTGATGTATACCTGAAATATAATGTTCTGTACATCTGGTGAGCCTCGTAAAAGTTTCCATCCTTAACGGATTTTTCTAATTTTTCCAAAACTCTGGATATTCCACGAACTTGAGCAGTCGCCGCCATGGTTTTTAATTAGACATTAGACGTCAGATCATACGTCAGGATTCAAAATGTCAAGAGACCAATGATGTCAACAAATAGGAAAAGGCACGTGTTTGTTGTAAAACTGTTTCCAGAGTGAAATAGGGGTGGGGTTTAGGTCGTTTGCAATGTTGCCAAGTGTAGTTTTTTTGCTCCAAACCTCATATTTATTCGTATTTCAAGGGGACACGATTCTACCCTGAGTATTAAGCATTTATCTAAGGGCCGTATCGTCAATCGTTTCTGCAATTGTAGGACGCCTTTATGGCCTCCTTTATTTTCATTGTTTTCCACTGTTCCGTGTCAGCGCTCTATTTTAAGGTTATGTTACAAATAACTATTTGCATCAAATTGTGCGTGCTTTTGATTTATATCAGCATGAAATTTCCTGCAATTCAAGAAGAAAACATAGCCTCACAATAGGAGAAGAAACAGTAGAAATCTAGAAATACCACAGCCTTTCAGAAGGAGAAAAAATACTGTGACAATCAAGGAGGCTATAAAGGCGTCATACAAAATCGCAATCTGACATTTGCGACTGCAAAATTAGTCACTACTTATTTGTAAAACAGCAGCAAAACTATAAAATTATACAAGTCTCAGATCTATGCGAAGAGCCGGCAACGTCGCATGCGACGTTTGTGGACAACCTGGCAATCATGGGACATTCAGAAAAAATGTCCTAGGATCTAGTAGTTTTGATTAATGTGGCAACCATGTGCGTTGTGGCGTAACTGCTTTGAAGATACTGTACTTTAATAATATCGCCAACCTTTTTTTGTTACAATCTGAAATACTGAAAAAAATGGTTGTCCGGCGAGAGCTCAGCCATTCCTACAATACGTTTTTTGTGTCGCTAAAAACGACGAAATAAAAATCTACAGCTCTGTGGGACTTGTTTTCTATCTAAATCGGGTGCTTGTATTTTGAATTCGATGTCAAATCAGCTCTAGGATTCACTGCCAATTTTTCAAGCCAAATCGGATCGGATGGCATTTTCGAATTTTTTCACTATGATATTTATACAGGGTTCACAAGTCGTGACCAACCGTTCTTGCGAGTCGCTAAAACCGAATCCGGGGTCAATTCAGCCAGACAAGTCCTTCTTTTTGGAGATAATGGCAGGAATTCCACTTTCTCAAAAAGCGACTAATAAAAAATCCCCAAACACTGTTGCGAGTCTATTATCTACATGGAAGCTCGTTATCTACGTAAATTGGGTGCGCAGATTCGGAATTTGATGGCAATTTAGTGCTAGGATTCGCGGCGCGTAGCCCCGTGTTAAAAGTTTCTTACCAATTTCACCCAAAATAAAAGTCCGATGACGCTTTAGAATTGTTTTTCTATGATGCTAATATTCAGCGCCACCCAAATTACTTTATGGTACAAAGTTCCGCTCACATGTAGACACCGATAATAAAAATGTTTTTTTTGCACCCTAAAGTCGCAAAAAACATAATAGTTTTGCAAAGTTTTCGCTAGGACTGAACACTTTTATAAATTCCCAGTTTTCGGTTTGTTCGTACAGTGGTTGGCAGGGTTGCCAACCGTACAGTTTTAATTGTAGATTTACAGTTAATCAAAAATCTTCATGATTTCAATTCTACAGTTTTTCTGGTTCTGGTTGATCTAAAGTGAGATGAACATTTTCAGAATTCAATTCAAATTTTGTCATTTTTATGTCACTCAAAGACAATCAGAACCGCTGAGAAAAGAACTTGATTCAAGTTAAGTCAGAAGTGTGCTATTCGTAAGCAATATTCGATTTTCACGAGTATCTATCTCGGAACAATGTCAAAAAGGACAACTGATCATGCATGCAAAAAGCAAACTCTTTTTGAGCTGTTTGGCCTTGAGTGAATTTGTAAAAATTTTGGATGGCAATTGTCACTGAAGGCCAACTAGAAAAGAATTTGCTTAAGCAATGCAAAACTGTCACTTTTGACCTTGGTTCGCGATAGGTACTGTAACTGGAAGGCTGTATATTTAAAGTTTTCAAATAATATTATACAGTTTTCAAGCCCATATACAGTTAGCTCGGATGGGGTTGGCAACGCTGGTGGTCAGTCACTGACACGTAACGACACCTGTACGAACAGGGTTTTAATAGGGTAAAATATTTTTTGCCTATTTCTTTTATGAAAAAAAACACAAAGTTTTACTATAATATATTTAATATCTATGCGATCTAAAATTACATGATCATTAACAGTAGAACTATAATTTTCATTTTCTCCACTATTTATTAGGGGAACATGATTTTTTTGGTGACTGCATTCGCACTTGGGCGAGGGAAACCCCTAGAAAACCTCAACCGTCACTGCTCAGATTATTTGTACCAGGTGAAGGAAAATCAAGTCGTTCCACAATTCTGGGTTCATTTGTACAATCGAAAATCTATAATCCACCAGCATGCCACAGGTATTAACCTAAAAAAAAAAGCGGCATTGAAGTAACGGTTTCTACGAGGGACATTTTTTAAGTGAGAACTGTTTTGTATTCGAATCAGAGAAATTTTAGTTATGAATGTAAATTTGTATCACAAACTAAAATATAACACTTTTTTTTATTTTTTAACACAGTAACCATAGACATTCACAAGTCAGGTCGAGGTACCAGCTTTTGTTTGATGTAGCATCTGAAACTTTTATCCTGTGGTTTTCATGAAAAAAATGTCGAAATACCAAAAAATTGCCAACTAGATTCAAATTAATAATGGAATAGATAATAAAGTAAAAAATCCAAATTATTTTAAAATTCATTATGCTAGCAAGTATTCAGGCAATGTGATTAATAGAAGAATAAGCTAGAATTTGTCGTAAGCTGATTTGATTAATATTTTGTATAGAATTAATTAGAATATTATTCTTATTAATTTTTATTTATTGACAATAAAATCAGCCTGAGTTTTTTTGTCGTTTTTTTAATTCCAGATACCTTACCATCGTTCACAGCCCGAAGATCCCAAAAGCCTTCCAAAAGATCGCGATAAACCCACCCAGAACTGTTGTCGTAATACACTGGTTGATTGTTAAGCAATTTTCGACTAAGATGTTGCGACCTCAAAACCAGCGCTAAGCGAACATGTATGGCAAACAGGACACAGAATAAAATGGGATAAAGAAAATGATGATAAGGGATTCACCCTATATAAATTTAACAATAATTGTCGTCCTAGCTCTTCTGTGACCCAATTTGTTTGAATATCCTTAAAGGAAAGATCTAGTTGATATTCTCCATTCAAACTAATGGATCAAGAGATTTTTATAGCGGCGTAATGAAAGGCTGGCCAAGAGTGTCCGAGATTGAACGGTCACGCTACACGATGCGCAATTGGTTCTTCCTTTAAAAACGCCCCTCGTAGTTCACGGACATCTTTCTGATAAGTTGAAAAGAAAAAAGAAAACTTGGCGAAAGCTTCCTTCTATGGCGCCACTGCTTTTTGCAATAGGTTTCAGAAGTTATATTTCCTGATAAGATTGACTTATCGGGTAAGACGTCATTGAAACATGAATAAGTAAGATTATGTAAAAAATACCTGTTCATTATTTCTATTATCAATTCAATTGATCTTCATATAACTTTTGGCCTCATTGAGTTAGTTTCCCAAATATGTCCCTTGACTTCTTCTTACTTTCTTCAAAAGTTGCGTGAAAATCGTGAACATTGTTAGAAACTTTTGCTTGGAACCTGGCTGTATTTCGTAAAACTTCATCAATATATTGAAAGTAGACTATACTACTATTATCCACAGATTTATCTACAAAGAGAGTTGACATAAGTATTCTCATTTAAATAACACCTCTGCTTATTTTGAAACATCAAGTAGGTTGACTCTGTATTTATTTATTTAAGTATAGTTTGAGTGGAAAGTTTTTGGTCTTCTTAGGGTAAGTTTAGAAAATTCATCTCTTGGGAACGTTTCCAAGATCATTAACAGTTCTATCCATACTTCAGTGGTTCGTGAAGTTCAAAACCAACCTTCTTGATGCCATACTCTCCAATGCTTACCCTGTAATAATTTTGATATTCGTTTGATAGCTGTTTTCATGTATTGCAACATACTATAAATCGGGACTTTGCTCATTCTTAGTATGCTTCTTTTGTTATTGTGTCTATAACATGACATTGGCAGTGTCCCCCCTTCAAAGCTTGATAAAAATATTTGAGCTATGATTCTGAAAGAAAACCTGAAAGCTTTTGAACAGCAGTACTGTAAAATAAGTAAAAATAAGGAATGTGCAACCACATCTTAGCTAAAAATAGGTATGTACCTAATAAAAATAGCAAATATAAAATTTAAGCTGAAATTAAAAGTATAATGAATATCATCAAAATTTATCATTGTTCATCACCATTCCTGAAATTCGGAATGTTCTCATTCTCACCTAAAAGCTGAAACAAACTAAGAAAAACACTTGCGCTACGATTTTAAAGGATAAATAACCATATACAACAGACCTAGAGATAGTGAATACCAAAGGTAATTAAAAAAATCATATAATAATAAATATAGTTTTGGAGACCATCGCGGGGCCACAGCCTGGAGTGAGTACCACAGTTTTACAAACCACCTTGCATGCTGGGGTACCTTGCCTTATACCTCTAATGACCTACTACTAGCCCTACTATCACTAACTACCACTACTACTACTACTACTACTACTACTACTACCACTACTACCTTCTCATCTGGTTGCTTGGCATCTATGAACACACTTATGAAGCCTGATTTTCACATTGCTTGTAAAAAGTAATCATCGTTTTTAATACAGCGGTTGGAGTGCATCATGTCATCATACTTCCGTGCTTACATTAACACCATATTAATACCTAGCGGTGTTTTTTTTTTGAATTCTGGACTCCTGATTCACAGCTCGGCTATGGACCCAGGGGAATTCCTTCCTTCACTTTTCCCTCTTGTTGACGGACCTTTGCACAATGCAAGCATTGAAATTTATCACTGTTGAGAACATCAAGAAGAAAACCATAAATGCACGTACATTCCAGTAAACTGTCATAGTCCCTGTAAAAAGTATAAACAACAGTACTAGGTTATTAAAACTTTCATTCTCACACTTTGGGCAGGAAAAGCAGATGGGAAAACTCTATCGAGCGTTTCTGCATGTGAACGGCTATAAGAGCTTTCTCTTATCTAAGAAACACTGGACGATTTTATGTCAGCCACGTGTTTTGCAAGAAATCTCTCCGAAAATGGTTAACCACGAAACATTTTTTCACACATTGCTTGTAAAAAGTAATAATCGTTTTCAATACAGCGGTTGGAGTGCATCATGTCATCATACTTCCGTGCTTACATTAACACCATATTAATACCTAGCGGTGTTTTTTTTTTTGAATTCTGGACTCCTGATTAACAGCTCGGCTATGGACCCAGGGGAATTCCTTCCTTCACTTTTCCCTCTTGTTGACGGACCTTTGCACAATGCAAGCATTGAAATTTATCACTGTTGAGAACATCAAGAAGAAAACCATAAATGCACGTACATTCCAGTAAACTGTCATAGTCCCTGTAAAAAGTATAAACAACAGTACTAGGTTATTAAAACTTTCATTCTCACACTTTGGGCAGGAAAAGCAGATGGGAAAACTCTATCGAGCGTTTCTGCATGTGAACGGCTATAAGAGCTTTCGCTTATCTAAGAAACACTGGACGATTTTATGTCAGCCACGTGTTTTGCAAAAAATCTCTCCGAAAATGAGTAACCACGATACATTTTTTCACAAATTGCTTGTAAAAAGTAATAATCGTTTTTAATACAGCGGTTGGAGTGCATCATATCATCATACTTCCGTGCTTACATTAACACCATATTAATACCTAGCGGTATTTTTTTTAATTCTGGATTCCTGATTAACAGCTCGGCTATGGACCCAGGGTAATTCCTTCCTTCACTTTTCCCTCTTGTTGATGGACCTTTGCACAATGGAATCATTGAAATTTATCACAGTTGTGAACACCAAGAAGAAAACCATAAATGCACGTACATTCCAGCAGACTGTCATAGTCCCTGCAAAAAGTATAAACAGCAATACTACGTTATTAAATCTCTCATTCTCACACTTTGGGCAGGAAAAGCGGATGATAAAATTCTATCGACCATTTCTGCATGTGAACGGCTATAAAAGCTTTCTCTTATCTAAGAAAAAAAAGTTACTTGGGTACTATTTTCGTAGTTTGTTTCCAATGTATCGTTTTCAAATATCTGGTTGAATAAATGAATGTACATAAAATAGTTCGCTATAACATATTAACACCTTTTATAAAAACTAGTTCACACGCACATGAAAAATACCCCTTGCACGTTTTCGCAGTTCGCGGAGATCGTAGTCACCATCGATGAGCCAATGGCAGTAACTTGAAAGGGTACTCAAAATATGTGGATGAGTTATCAAAATATATCACATAGAGGTCCTTTTCATAAAAACAAATTTACCTGATTTACACCCGCATACTCTGCGCAAGCGCGAGACGAGTCGTCAGCATCTCTCGATGTGCCCCTGCAAAATCTAAGCAGCAAGGGCATGATGAGTCGTCTGTATCCCTCGATGTGCCCCCACATCGCAGAGTGCCCAAAAAAAATCCCTAACATTTCCCTAGCTACTCGCTATTCACTCATCTGACGCAAACGTTTTTCCTGACTTTTATACTGAACGGACGCTTTTTCCTAGTGATTCCTAACTATCTAAATGGGGCACCCTGTCTGGGGCGAGGGCAAGTTCGGAAGTCTCGCAGCTCTCGTTCAGCTGTGAACCCTACACCAATAAGAAAACCCTAAAGGCACTTACATTTCAGCAAACTGCTCCAGTCCCTGGAAAAAGTAGAAACAGCATGAGTATACAAGTACTGCGTCATTAAAGATATCACTCTCACGTTTTGGACAGGAAAAGCGGATGGAACAATTTAAGGGTACACTTGAAAGTGATGAATGTCACAAATTCGATGTGTCGTAGTTAGAACCGGCACCATGTAGTCTTAATGCAGTACAATCCCATGACGTATCGGAAACCCGCAAAAACAATGACGTTCCGTAGTTATATCCAACTGAAAACTTGCTGTGCAGGGAAAAAAAGATTAGTGTCGCAGCCGTTATATGAAACTGATCGTGACCGAAACTACTAGCAGGCTTTTCAACACTACAGTTTTAACAATAGATTTTTTCAAAAATCTTCCAAGGTTTCAGTTCGGGTCTTCAAAGCTACAGTTTACAAATTACCGAAAAATCTTGCACAAGTTTTGCGGTTTTGGTTCTATGCAGCGAGGCGCCTGTATGCAGAAGAGTTTCCCCATCGGCTTCTTCCATATAAGATGTAAGAGTAAAAAAAATGTTTTAAAATTTGTCACCCTGAATCTTGAAAACTCTGCATTTCCGGACCCATGTTTATAGAAACTTTTTTTTTAACATAGAATCACCCTCTAAAATATTTCCGTCTATTTTTCGAACACCCTGTATAGACATCCTACAGGACGTTGGCAAAGAACCCCATTTCTCTAGTTACTGTATACTGGGCTTAACGTCCTAGCCGGCAGATATGGTGCAGACCAGGCTTAACGCATCATTTTTTTATTGCTAGCTGTGAAAATATATGGGTTGTATTGCCTTGTACGTGTTTGATTGAATTTTGTGTTAAAAAGTGGCTTTTGTCAATAAATTTTACAGTACTTTTAAACAAGCCCTCATAAAGATACAACATGAGTACCTATAGTTCAATTAATGGCAAATCTTCAAAATATCGATTGTATGGGGTATTTATTTCTTAGTAAAAAACGTAAACAACTTTTTATACGAGAGATAAGATATAAACACAACACAAAAATACAATCGGTATTTACCTGCACGAATCTCGCTTTCTTGTAATTTTTTACATGATAGTGTGCTACTGATTATGTATTTACATTTACTATAGACGGAGCGAAAAGAAAAATTTTCCGACTCAATTGTTGAATGAATCACGAGGGTGCCGGGAGGTAACTCGCTGCAAAGTTTAAACAATTACAAACGACAAAAAATCATTTTTTTCCGCCCCGGACATTTTGACTTTGAGCTTTTTGGAACATTGCGAATGAAAAAAGTTTTTTCTCTCTAAAAGCACTGCTATTTAATTGTTACTAACAGGCATTGGAACACTTTACTAATCCTAAAATACTCCTTGGAGTCTTGTAGGGTAAGATGCGAATTTGACTTAGACACTTGGCAACCTCAAAGATGATAATTTTAACCGCGTTTTAAAGCATTGAAGATCATCATTATTAAGGTTTCTCAGAACTTTAATCGCTTCTAGCATGAAAACGTTTCACTTTAGAGAAAAATTGCTAAAGACTTTTGACCACAACACAAGAAGTCAAACTTGAATTATGAGCTCAAAGCTAACACAGAAGTGGATGAGTATGGATGACTTGCCTAGTTTGCCGTAAAGACATTCAGCTTCCTCAGAATGATCGGTAGAATATCCAACGTGAAAATACTCCATTCGCCTTTTATGAACAACCACAACACATTTTCACACACAATCACTCAAATCACCATCACGACACGACGAGACTGCGGGGAATCGCCGACAAAAGCTTCTCTGGACACTACATTAAGAACGCGTCGAACAGAAGCCGAGCGTTACACGGAGGTCTCGACGAAGCAACCTCCAGCAACGCCAACCGATAACTAAACTGCGCGTTAGTTCGCAGCGTACGGCGTCGGTACGGCTATGTTGCGCTGCGTCGTGATTGGTTGGAATTTAGCCACTCCTCCTTCCAGCTGCCAATCTTTGTTGAAGGCAGGGTTGCCGACCCTACAGTTTTAACTGTAGATTTAGTTTTTAAAAAATCTTCCAAGTTTTCAGTTCGAGCCTCCAAATCTGCAGTTTTTCGTTTAAGATGCTCGCGCCATCTGTTTTGTTTACTTATCCGAGTGCTGCTCAAGCAAGGTGCCTCCCTCTCCAATTTTCAACCACCGGCAACTTTTTGCAATGTTAATGTCTACTTATTGCTGATCATGCATGCAAGAAGCAAACTTTTCTTTGAGCGATTGTGGTTCTGGTTGGCCTTGAGTGAATATGGAAAAATTTGAATGGAAATTCTGTCACATTTATATCACTCAAGGCCAATCGAAACCATAATCGCTCAAAAAGAATTTGCTTAAGCGATGCAAAACTGTCACTTTTTGACTTTGGTCCGCGATATATACTCGTGAAAATACTGTAAATTGACAGTTTTTAAAATAATATTCTACAGTTACCTACAGTTTTTTCAGGCAAATATACAGTTTTTCTCTCGGTTGGGTTTGGCAACGCTGTTTGGGGATCTAGCGGCGGATTCCACTATGAAGGTTTTAAAACAACAAAAATTAATAGCTTCCAATAATTGATATATCATTAAACATTCGTTCTATTTTGCAGTTTTTGAATATCCACATCATACCAGATCTCCGCCAGGTTCTTGGTAAAGCAGTGAACCTCATAGATCACTTTAGTATCTGAAATGAATCGCTTCCCACCCTATTATGTTAATCTTTTGAAATAAGACAAGGCAAAGTCAAAATCTACCACAGAGACCAAGCCTAGAACATGCTGATGCGTTGCCAAAAAACACAAAACAGCTGTCCATGGTTGGCTGTCTCTGGTTGGACAGACAAAACCAGCATGTTTAGATGTGTAATATTGCTGGGCAGAGTTCAAAATGGGATACAGGGGTTGTTGAAACAACAATCAATACTTCACATATATATTTGCCTTTAGCAGTTATCACAAAAGAATAAGTTTATCATTGAAGTAGAGTCAGATCATAAGATTTCTTTTTTAGATGCAATAAAGTTCTTTTTTTAAAACAGTACAACCAACTCATTTAATCATCCAATATATCATCCAACCACTGCTCTAAATCATTATCAGGTACAGTCCTTTTGTTTCCATCAGACCTGCTTTTTCTTTTTTCTGTACAACTTGTCAGGCTATCTAGAACACATTTTTCAATGTCTTTCTGGATATCTGAAACATCATGGTCTATCTTGTTGGGTTCTTTATGCTTTGGTTTTTTCTCTTCACACCTTTTTAGCTTTTCTAAGGTCCTTCTCAAATGTTCAGCAGCCTCACTTCTCATGTACTTCTTTTCAGATTCCTGTAAATTCACTTATCATCATCATCAGACAGCATGTTACTGCTATTACACAACTTTAGCATCAGATGGAGTGTAAACAGCAACATTTGTTAGAAGCTGGAGGAGATAGCCAAACCCACATTCTCCATTTTACTTTAGGCCCAATCATATTATATATATTTATAGCTCTGATGCTCACACATTTTGTAGGTTAGGGGCAATATCAATAAAGTTGAGTACTACTGGAGTGACAGTGGAACAGACAACTTAAAAAGAAGTACTTACGGAAAAATAAGCTTCATCCATTTGAATTCTTTCATAAAAGGGTACAGTCAATATGCTATTATGTATTGCTTCAACATCTATTGAAAACAAATCACCGGAAGCCTTTGTTTCTGCTTCATCAGCAAGGAGTTTATCACTTTTGAACTGGAAATGATGCCCCCTGCTGATAGGTGTCTTTGAAAGTATTGCAAAGTCAGTGCTACTGCTTAGCTGGAAACTGTGCGAGTTTGATTTGTCCTCTACGTATCTGTCCTCATTCGACTCCAAAACAGGCTTGGTAGGTAACGGTACGTGTTTTGGGTTTTTGACTGTGTTCCCTTTGTATTTGTGCTTATCCTGAATATGTTTGCGGCCCCTAAAATAATTTTTGTTTGAATTCTAACATAACTATTCAGTTGCTGATCATTTTTACCATACCTGCTCTTGTCCTTCTCCATGTGATTGCCTGATTATTATTTGCAAAATGAATAATTAATAGTTTGTGATTTTTTAAAAATCCAGATATATCAAAACAAACAATAACCTCAAAATGGTGAACAATGGTGAACTATGTGAACCACAAATGTGAACCAGAATATAATTGAACTGTCAGATTTCCAGCAAGTTTCCGACATTTTTAATTAGGTTGACTAATCAGGAAATGTTTATTGGTCACGTGCTTATGAGCGCACCAGCGTTGCCAGACGTACGATAATTATCGTTTCTGTACAATAATTTCAAGTACTGTACAATGTACGATACTGTGTGTAGGATAATAGCTAAATGTACGATAATTTTGCGAATGAGCTTTTTTACTCACATATGTTGAATCACCAGCAAGCAGCTGTCAGTGTTGCCGCTCGGTAGACAAACGCCGGTACCCCACTCTGTATAATGGGTTGCCTAGCATTACGCGGACTATCCCGGCAAACATCAACGGGAAAAATTGCCGTCAATCAGTTCTCACGTTCTATGTATTGACATGACGCGCATATTTTTATTTATCCATGTGTATTAGAGAAAATGAATGCGACGTCTCCCGTATTTATGACTTTTGAAACTTAAAAATCAAAAGATCGTTTTCAGTTATTTTCGATATTTATCCGGTTTGAATTCAATGACGATAATATGTCAGATTCCGAATCAAGTTGCTCTGGAAGAGAGAAGCACAACAACAGATGCTATACTCTCGAATACAGAACACAAAAAAAAGGAGCGGAATCTTTGAAGAAAGCCAAACGTAGACAGCAAGCTTATGGGAAAGAGTGGGCAACAAAAGAGCCCCGCCCCTCCCACGAGACTGAAATTTTCCTTCTTTCCTTCATCATGAATCCTGAGAGAACCTAAGGCACGATGTAGGATAATGTACGATAATTTTGACGTGTTTGTACGATAATTCCCTGCGACGAATCTGGCAACACTGGAGCGCACCACGTGGCCTACATATTGCCAGATATTGCTTATGCAGTAAGCTCTAATTTGATGAAAAATGTCCCACATTTTATCAGAAAGTTACGATTTATAGAATCGCAGCCTGTCTGTCAGCTGTGAGTCTAGGTGGATTCAGAGACTGTAAACAGTTTATATATGGCATAAGGTATGGCATCAACGCTAGTTGCGTATTGCTAACAAGCCCCAGATTTACGTTATTTTACGCTAACACAAAGGTGTCGCGGCATCACGATTGACCTGAGTGCTGACACGAATTATTAGTTCACCTTCCTCTTGATATTCTAGTACAACGATGCCAACCTTACAATATGTCCGTAGATTTACGGATTTCAGAAAAGCTTCTAAATAGCTGGAATAAATATATCTACTTCAAAGCAAATATTTGGCTTTTCTAGTTTTTTTAGTGTATCAGGTTTGTAAAAAAACATAAGCTGAATATAAAAATTTATTGTATAAAAACAACACAAATGTTAATGGTATAAAGATGTATATAACAGAGAATAACTGCAAGGAACCAAATATTAATATCAAGCTATAATAACAGTTTTATTATTGGCGATTGACACTACAAAGCGTTTTTAAACAAAATAACGTATTGAAACAATTTTAAATCACTAGTTTAATTATTTATGTATCACAACAGCTTTACATATAGGACACTTCCAATTTGTCACACAGAAAACACTACAAGTAACACGCTGCTAAAGTGGGATCACAACTTCTAATGAACTGTACGAATCGTCATATAACTGTCGAATAGAGATAACTGGAGATTGTGAAACTGACCTTAAGTGGTGGCTTTACAATATGCCACAAAAATGGAATAAAATCTATTCATGGCAGATACGATGATGTTTTTGAATAAGTAGTCACAAAGTTCGTGCAAACTATAATGGAGGATCGTAAACATATGTGGTAACGAAGTATTTTCTATGTGAAATGGTTTTAGTAGACATCATTTGTATGTTGTGGTGACAGTAAATGTGGAACAACAATTTCCAAAGTGATGAAAAATGCTACGGATTCATCTTGCGTAGCATCCGATAGTGTATGTTCACTCAAGAGAAATTGTTTTTCCACAGTGATAGAACATAGAGAGCTATCCTTGCGTTCCTAGTTGATGATTGGTTGAAACAAGAAACACAGTCGGTTCGTTTGAAATCGTTTGCTTTTCATCCGCTTAATAGTGAGCCGAAAACGGGGAGTGTCTTATTCCAAAGCTATGGGCTGGTGGGACGTCCAGGACCACCTACAAAATACGGAAAAATATAAACAACAGTACTCATACAAATTCAGGGAGCAGGAAAAAAGTCCAAATTTTTCAGTGATTTTTGAGAGGCTGTATTTCAGAGAAAAATGGTCGCGTATCTAGACTTTTAAAAAAACATTTTGAAGCTTTCAGGTTTTTTAGTAAAAAAAAATTGAGCGATTTACAGATATCGCAAGAAAAGTGTTTTGCAAAATGTTTGGCTTCGTTTTAGTTCACGAGCATGAAACACATTTTTTCTGTTAGGCCGTCATATGGATCGGTTTTGCCGTTTAATCAGCTTCAATATTATGTTTTTAAAATCTCGATACGATCATTTGGCGCGGAGATATCTGACTTTGAATTAAAAATGATCCTTTTCTCAATATTGAAATGCTTATTTGTAGACATCACTACAGTGTTTCAACAGGTGCTACATGCAAAAGTAAAATCAGGAAGTTCAAGATAATTGCTAAAACACCATGAATGCAAATAGAGCCAATAAAACGTGCGCTAAAAAATATATGTGTATACGTACAGGTACAACTACAAAGTGCTAGTGCAAGGAATTAAGTCAAAATTCGACAAAGCCACAAGCACATATAGTGTATTTACACCGTCCTTAATAAGTGAAGAAACCACCTTAAATCGATAACTTGATAACGCAACCCTGCTGTAAGCTATTATACTATTATTTATCATCAAACAAACTTGTGACAAATAAAGTATATTATTACGTATTTATAATTAATTTATATATATATTTATGTATATGATTCATAGTTATTGTCGAAAAATAACTAGCTAAGTGGAAGACTCGTCTTTGGGAAAATCGCATATTATGCAAAGTATACTCTTTTAACTTACACTCAAGCTTTCGACAATCTATGCTGTCATCATCAGGAGTGCGTTTGTAAAATGTGGATGAGACCACATAGTAGGACGATCAAAAACTGGATGTATGAGGATATTTTATATTATATTATATATATTTATATTAATGAAAAACATGGCTATACATCATGGACTAACCTCAAATTGCTAACGTGCATAATTTGTCGATTTCCCCAAAGACCCTTCCATTTAGCTATTTATGTATTTATTTATTAGATCAGATTGTTATACTTGGTTGAGCTTGACGATTTCAAATCAAGTCGTGAATCCCAATTCAGATCCTATTTTGGTTGGAAATCTTCAGGTGTAACACATTAATCAATGGTATACTATCATTAAAGTGGTTTCTTGCACTTTGCTGGTGCTGTCTGTCTACGTTACAGCATCAAAATACCTGGTTTCAAAACACGTCGCTAATACAAGCAAAGGCCATCAAAATAGAAGGCTGGTTTTATCTTTGCTCATTAAGCTGTTGAACGTACCCAAGTATGGGGAGTGTCTAATGCCGAAAGAATGACTGGGGGCATTCCTCAGATGCGTACGAACCTATTAAAAAACATAGCCTCACAATAGGAGAAGAAACAGTAGAAATCTAGAAATACCACAGCCTTTCTGAAGGAGAAAAGATGCTATGACAATCAAGGAGGCTATAAAGGCGTCCTACAAAATCGCAATCTGACATTTGCGGCTGCAAAATTAGTCACTACTTATTTGTCAAAACAGCAAAACTATAAAATTATACAAGTCTCAGATCTATGCGAAGAGCCGGCAACGTCGCATGCGACGTTTGTGGACAACCTGGCAATCATCTGACATTCAGAAAAAATGTCCTAGGATCTAGTAGTTTTGATTAATGTGGCAACCATGTGCGTTGTGGCGTAACTGGTTTGAAGATACTGCACTTTAATAATATCGCCAACCTCTTTTTGTTACAATCTGAAATACTGCAAAAAAATGGATCTTTCCGGCGAGAGCTCAGCCATTCTTACAATACGTTTTTTGTGTCGCTAAAAACGACTAAATAAAAATCTGCTGTGTGCGACTTGTTTTCTATCTGAATCGGGTGATTGTATTTTGAATTCGATGTCAAATCAGCTCTAGGATTCACTACTACTTCTTATAAACGTTTTGCGAGTCGCTTAAACCGAATCCGGGGTCAATTCAG